GAAAATTGATAGGAGGTTACATCAATATTCAATATTAACTACTTTATCTGAAATTAAGACATAATGCTGAAAAGATTATTTTTTATAAACCTGCAATTTGAAGTTGCGTTTATTTTTCGTTTCAGTATATATATTAATCATATTTTTTAAAACTTAATGCAATGTGCTTATGTTGATAACATTACATTATTTTTTATAAACCTGCAATTTGAAGTTGCGTTTATTTTTCGTTTCAATATATATATTTATCATATTTTTTAAAACTTAATGCAATGTGCTAATGTTGATAACATTACATGATCATTTCCCGATTTCTGGGTTATACTGCCATCTTCACTGACAGAGTAACCGGTCATGATAACGTTCTATTTTTCCCGTTTGAGCACGATAACACAAACACATGGTTTGTTTTGGTTTGTTTGTGTTTTACGTCCTATTAACAGCTAAGGTCATTTAAGGACGTGCCAGGTTTTGATGGTGGAGGAAAGCCGGAGTTCCCCGAGAAAAATCCACGACCTACGGCCAGTACATGGTCTCGCTCCACTGGGCGACTGGCATAAAACAACACATTATATATATTTTGCCCCTAGTTCACCGAAAGGACGTATGGCGGTGGGCGTTTAATCAGTGCATGTACATGCACAACTTTTACACATAATCCATGACAAAAAAATAAATGCAATCGAAATAAATATATATACCAATAAACTCTCGTTAATATGTCGATAATTAACGGCTTGTCGTCAACGACGTGAAAAACATGTAGGCCGCAGTCTGATGTTGAAACGAACATAAAGATATACCTCGATCATCGAAATCAACCTGCACGCCAGGGAAAACCGGAGATAGCACCCGGAAACCTGTATCCAAAGGCGGGAAAAATATTTTTTTCCAGCAAGTCCGATTTCTCTGAGGTGACAGTTGGACCGCTGTCTTCTTTTTGCTTTTTTAACAAACCTACTGAACCCAATAAGAAAATACCTATACATCCTTAAGTTTAGAATGAACCGTACGTCCCGAGTAGGCTACTAGAAATGAACACGCTGACAACATCAACCACCCGTGTACCCGAATACACTTGGCAGCTTTCTGCTGCTCGTGCCGCACGAGACAAATGATTCCCGCTTCTACTACGAACCGCGGGAATGCTTGAGTCTCGCTCCACCGAGCGACTAGCATAAAACAACACAACGCAAATATCTTAATATCGCAATTTATCAAAATAAAACGAAAAACTCCCAATATTACTATATTTACAAAAGTCGAAAGAAAAAACAATAACCCATTAAACTTCAAACAAAAACCTACGGCGTTCTGGAAGCATGAACACTACAAGCCTAATTTCTTTGTTACCGCTAACCTCTTATCTATGGAATCCTTGACGTAGCCATCCTTGCTAAAATCGCTCTTCCATTTACGTGCCTCTTAAAACACCTATCATTGACCCCACTATTCGCTGCTGCGGTGGCACCGCCCGACCTAAGGGAATGCAAGCCCACGTTACAATCTGTAACCAACTTTAACCTTTTTTAAAACCGCTTCGCGTGCACACGTAAAACTCATAGGCTTTGATTTGTGTATCAAACTGCAAACCTCGCCAGATATGTACACTTGTTTGAATAAACAATCGTAGGACTGTAAATCGATAACTGCCAACTCCAAATACCTAACTTACATCGCGTGTTGACAAGCTGACGTCTGTCCCTTGCTTGCTCTTTAAATCAGAACGCCGCAAGTTGCTTAGCTCGCTGAACCGCAGAAAACCTGAAAAACACACCAAAATAATAGTAAAATCCCTAATAACTAGCAAAATTACAGACGTTTTATAAATGTCACACAAGTCCACCAAATTGTCGATAGTCACTGACTCCTTTTTAAACACGGGCCTCTTCGCCAAACGCTTGGACACTTCCAATAGATTCGTCAAGAACGAATTCGTCGTCGGATCCCTATGTCCATGTACATTGTTCGCCCTATTAATGGTGTAAACACCTGCCGACACAGTAGAATATGAATATCTAATGCACAGTAAATGGTTAAGATAAAGAGCTACGTACACGAGACACGCAGGTAATGCTTGGAAACCATGGGAGACAATGAACTCCTCCCATCTCCGAAAACACCCATGATGTTTCCTGTTGGTGGCATCCGCTCTGCTGCATAACAGCCTAGATGCCATACCCTCCGAACAATCATAAAGGGACGTTCCCTCCTGTTCTCCTGAAGCAAGAACTGCATCACGCATAGCAGAGTCTTATACTAAGCATGTTTAAAACATAAACCAACAAAAAAAGATGACTATGCGCTAAAATCAACACGTAATACAAGCATATCGAAGTTCAACAATGACTTCGCAAAACACCCGTTATTCGCTCTACCGCTGAATGTGACATTCCTGCGTCCTCAAACGCGATAATCTTTTACAAATCTGTGGAATTTTTAAAGCTCTTTTGTACATAACATCAGCCAAAAAGGAGATGATTTCCAACTTGGAACAATCAGAGTTCCACGCGAGTTGTCCACCTTCGTTTTATGGATAACCTCGCAAACTAACCTAGGAGGGGTCACTAACCAATTAGTAACCCCCTGTCACTGCCCTGTGAGCTGTGAATGCGTCGATAGCCTCGGTACCTGCACATCACCATCTGGAATTGAATTGCGCGTATTATGTGTTGTAGTCGGTAGCAAATCTATCAACAACATGGGGCCCCATGCGTTTTCTCATAAGTCTACCACCCATTGTTGAACGCACCAATCATCACAACAAGTGCACCTGCTCAGATGATCAGTGATCCGTAACCACGTGACTCGCTGTGAAGCCTCCCATTGACACTTGTCATCGGTTATTAAAAACCCGTACTGATCAAATACGCCTTGTACAATGTACGTACATACTTGCCTCGTTGGCTCCGCGTTCGGTCTCGTCGCCACCAATCCCATCGTCCAAATACATTACTAACTTCAGCCCCGCAGATCGCACATGCTTGAAAACCTCGCGAAGCACCTTGGTAAACACATACCCAGCCGTTGCTATGCCGAAAGGTAACACATTATATACGTAATACTTTGATGTGCCGCGAGTCTACCAACTAAACCCCAGACATTTCCGATGCATTGGAAATATCTCCACGTGGTGATAGGCAGACTTCAAGTCAATCGTAAACAAAAAATCACCCTCGGTAAATAAACTACGCGCTGTCTTGACATCCTCGTATTTAAATTTAAACCTAAGAAAATGAGTGTTATGTGTCGACAGTCCAAAACCAGGCGGGGCTTACCTTCCCTGTTATAAGCAACGGTGATTGGGTTTGCTACATGCACATACGCCGTTGTTATCTCAGAAACACACCCCAGATCTAGAAGCTTTCTTATTTCTGATCCATCAAAACTAGGATTATCACGTGCTGATTTGTTGTTTGACAAAATTACCTCGACTGGAACTTCGCGAAAAAGAATTGTATACCCGTCAGCCACTACAGATAGAACGGCATCAAGCGTGCCCTGTTCACGCCAGTATTCCGTCCGGGTTTTCAACCGCCCTACTGGCGACCTGGAAACAGGAACCGCATTGTTAGCTTGCTCAACGACGTTAATAGTGTCGTTATGTCCGATATTGCAATTTTCAGACTTGCCTGTGCTAGATTTACCCGTGTTACAACATAACTGTGGCGTATCCACGCCTAATAAGGTACCTTTGAACCTATCATGCTTAGTAAAACAAAATGTACTTATCTTGCCGCCATTAAGAGCCGACGCCCCTTCGGACACTCCGGGACACTCAAGACGCCAATGTCCGGGTTTATCACAGTTGTAACAGAGACTAGGTCGCTAGCCCCTCCATGTCGCTCCATGGCCGGAATCTGTGCTTTGCATGACCTGCGTCGTCGCAGGGCCACCGTACCGTTGATACGGAGCGTGTCGACCCCGCCCTCTCGCTGACTTGAACTTCGTCGTCTTGATTTTCTTGTTAGCTTCTTATCCTCAGAATCTGAGGCTATAGGGTTCGCTGCGAACTCGACAACCGCTTTCCATCTGGCCTCCAAGGAATCAGCCAACTTAACTAACTTACTAAAGCAATACCTTCGGAGACTTTAGTGGCGACGGCCCCAGGACCTAACTCCGCAGCTTGACCGACCTTGTTGAACTTCGCCTGTATCTCGGCATTGAACTTATATTGGTCCTCGCAACTCTTTTTAGTGAATTTGTGGGGGTCCGCGACGTTGGTGATATTTTGCTGTAGCTTTACCATCTGCGTCTCAGATTAAGTCGATATCCTAGACTCGAAGGCGTCAAGCTTACTAGAAATGAGCATGACCAAATGCGCGGTATTTGGTTCAGCGAACTAGCCACAGCCTCATTCACTTTAATAGAAATGGAGTCCTGAATGTCAGAGCCTAAATGGTCTCCTTCCATAGCTATAAAAACGGCCGTACGTCAAAAACAGTTGAGAATGAACCGTACTTTCCGAGTAGGCGACTAGAAATGACCAAGCTGACAACATCTACCACCCGTGTACCCGAGTACACGTGACAGCCTTCTGCTGCTCATGCCGCACGAGACAACTTATTCCCGCTACTACTACGAATCGCAGGAATGTTTGATACCTGGCGACTGCCCCACGAAGGTATCGAACCCGCGACCCAGTAGTGGAGGGCTAGTAATAGCAAAATATCAGACGTCTTAACCACTTGGCCACCGTGGTCCCCCAAAACAAACACCTAAACTGTATAGGTACTGTATATACGTATAAGCTACACAATATCCCGTAAACATGAATGTATTTTCTCGATAGGTTATAATATAAACGATATTTATTTTACAACAACTATGAACCAATTTACTACAACTGATCTTAATTGCTCTTGTTTGCCCGGATGTAAGCACGTCGGGGTCTTAATGTGGGAGGAAACCGGAGTACCCAGAGAAACCCACGTGGTGAGCAAGTTGTCTAGCACAACATTTCATTTCCCCAAATAAATCCATGTACAATTTTCTTTCAGGAACGGCCACATTGGACCCTAAGTCGAACGGGAAGATAAGCATGGTGTCTATTGCCTACCTCGTTTTCACAAACTTTCTCGGGGCTCTGATTGGCTGCATCATGGCTGTTATTATCAGACCAGGTACAGTACATTTCCAGAAACGGATATCGAACTGCAAAAAAAAAAAAAATCAACAATATTGCTCGTAGAGGAAGGGAATGGCGGGTTAAAGGAGTTTTTCTGCAATTTTACTTGTCGGGGATAATTAGTTCGAACACGTTAACTCATGTTTAAGTTTGATGAGACACAACAAACAGTCATTATATGACTGATGCTAAAGCTATTTCGACTGATAACCATGGATCAGGCTAGCAGAAGGTATTGCAAATATTTGTTGAAAGGAGGCATGGAGTCTAGTGATAGGACCCTGGGTTCATGATCTAAGGGTTGCGGGTTCGAGTCACGTCACGGCACTGTATTGTATCCTTGAACAAGATACTAAACTCCACTTGTTCCAGTCTACTCAGCTGTAAATGAGTACGTGGTTGGGCAGTGAAATTGTTGAAAGCTAGCTGTGAGCGCCGAAATGACAGCAATTTGTGAACCGCTTTCAGACGACTAAGGACCCAGATTGTGATAAAGCGGTACATAAAAACCTCGAAATATTCTTATTATTATTCAAAATATGGATACAAATTGAAACTACGAGTCATACAATGTACGTCCGTATATGATATCAATGAACATTTTCATTTCCTCTTTTCTTTTTATAAATATCCCGGTTTTGCCCCTTGTGTGGAAGTAAAGAGGATTACAATATTATATTATTTCAAAACGCGTTTCTTTTCAAAGGTGTCGGCGTGTCAAACTCGGAATCGGGTAAGAAGCTAGAATCAGTCACCATGGAAACACAGGATATATTTGCAGATCTGTTGAGGTATGTGTCTAATTTAATTGTTGGCAATCTATTGCATATTTACATTGTTTCTTAACTTGACTAAATACACCTTTTACTGATAGTGTTTGATATATAGTTTTCCATAAACATTCCAGTTGGCGTATGAATACGTTACCAAATAAGTACTGGAAGTAGTCCCGTTATAGATAGTTTTCATTTAGTTTTTTTGTGTAAAAGATTCCAATTAAATGACAAAGTACATCAAATTATATTTTATATTGTTAAACGTTGTAATGAATACAAAACAAAAGCAACGCCTCACTGCCGATATTGTGTTTCATTAATAAACCTTGTTAAATACACAACAATTTACTCCGCGTTTTCATTTCACCATTTTGAACATATTTCATGCACTATCACGTAGTCGATACACATCGCCGGCCTCTAGGGTCACGTGCAATTTTAGGTATGTCACGTGGCTCGTACACTGTGGAACATAACCATATGCATCCTCTAAATAACATCGTTTTAATGCGATTGTTGTATTACTGAATACAGAATAGTGAAAACAATACAAAGGGACCATTATTGTAAGCTTCAAGATTGACATTTTAATCAACTGATCAATCGAAGTTACGACATGCATGTATTTATTTTATTTTTGCATAAAAATGCATTAATTTTGTCATTTGTCGTTAACAATATTCAGATAAACTCTGATATTTACATTGTTATAGATTTTTGCTTTATTTAAAATGTTTGTGCTTAAATTTCCACCACGTTGGAAACGTTATTCATTTGTAATGTTTTCATCATTTCGACATTTGTACCAATGTGCACTTTTCATGAATATACGCTTAGGTGTACAGGCCCAGGATTAAATACCATGCGAAAATCGGACTGAGTGTTCATATACTCATTAAACGGGACTCGAGACAAATGTGATATTAACAGCATTGCATACAATTCGTCACAAGATTTATTGAGGATTATACCACATAAACCTCAACATAGCAGGATTTGTTTTTAATGAATGTGTTTTCTTAACAAAACGGCGAAGGTAATTCATGTTTTTACGCTGCGTGCTCGATACTTCTGAATACATGTGTAATCTACTCTCTCTGTCATGTTTTATTTTGATTGATGTTATTTTGTTTGACCTCTTGTTACACACTTTGTGTGTCAGAGCGTAATAAAAAAATCTTGAAAATCTTGAATAGAATAAGTACCTGTTTCGGTGCATCAAATTTAAATAGTGTCCTCGTCACATTTCATTTTTATTTCAGAATATTTTACTGTATACGTTTTACATACAAAAGGAATTTGGCAACATGAAAAGCATATAAAAACCCTCACCTTAAAATATAAACAGTGCATACATACATATGATGAAGTAGAAATATACAGCCTTATATAGAGATATAGACTGTTTATGTAAAAATACATTAGATATTTATCAACAATTGTTATAAGCAATCTTATCTGTCCTCATCACAGTTTATAAGTCGAATGCATTGTCCCAAAAACCTTATCACACATTTCAGTTGTGATATTGCAAGTATTCTACGCACAAGGCGTTTTTAATACAAATAAAGTGAACTACTTAATCTATATGTCTGCGGTTAGTGTTCAAGTGTTTTATCATTGGTCAATATTTTTATCAATGTTTGACCTCTGTTTTAGGAATCTGATCCCCAGCAACTTGATACAAGCCACATTTCAACAGGTAATTCCGAGGACTTCAGGATATTTTAATACCAATTATGAATCCTGGATTTTACCAAACCTTTACTAAACTATAATAAAATTAAATATTAACATTCAGTGCTTTGGCATTCAAAGTATGGCCTTTTAGTTGGTAATATGATGTAATCATACTAAAAATACTCACAAATGTATTTAATGGATTATAGGTATATAATTTTGTCGTTTTGGTATTACGTCATCCTCTGCAAATATTCTCAAAGATTACTTGAATGACAAAAGAACCAACTGCAGATTATACATAATGTATATTTATCATTTTTGTTTCATAATTCCATTGTTTCCTCATTGTTTAAAAAAACAACATTTTTAAAATTTTATTTTTTTAAATTTCAGACTCAGACGAAGTATAATATTGAGACAGTTCTAAAAAACATGACAATGAACGGAACGATCATCTCGCGAGAGTTTAAAGAGATCAGCGGAAAATATATCGGCTCCGCCGGATCCTCCAATATACTTGGTACGCTCATTTTTGGACATCCATTGTTCTTAAACAAAATTACAAAAAGTCCTGAAATGTAGTAAGTTCATACTCAATTAATAGTATTTTGCAGTAAAAGTTTGCTTCTAAGGTAATGTCAATATTAATCAATTAATACACATGTATTTTGCATTTAAAGGGCTCATAATAGCAAGTTCGTTGTTCGGTGTGGCGACAGGGGCGGTGCGAGAGGCAGGCATGCCGTTCGGCGCTTTCTTCACTTCCGCTACTGACGTCATCATGCAGATACTCAAATGGATCATACGGTCAGTGCAAAGAGTTTGTTTTTAATAACTGTTAGTTTTTCCACCTACATACATGTATGATTTAAATATTGACAAGCTATAATTTTTATGACAAAACCTTATTTAGTGCCTGACAAAAGAAGCATTTTCAGATCTAGCACCAACACACTGTCATTCTGAAGTGACTATTTGACGATTAAAAAGAAAGTATATGTTGAAAACAAATCATGTTTTCTGCATAAACGTTTTATATTGTTACACGTATACGTCAATGTCACTGGTATGAAGAACAATTTAATAAAATGCTCCTATAGCCAACGTTTCCTTTCAAAGTAGGACTTTTCAAAAATTAATATAGCAAAATACTTACTTATCTTGTAGAACGACACCTTTCGGTGTAGCAAGTCTAATTGCTAAAACGATAGCAAGCACGGACAACATTCAGGAGGACTTTCGACGGCTTGGGGTGTACTCGGCAACGGTGATCGCGTCTCTCTTCATTTGCAGCGTTGTACTGGTTCCCATAGCGTACAGTCTGCTCACCAGAAAGCAGCCCTTCCGTTTCCTGTTCAGTGTCGTCAACGTTCTCATGATTGGATTTGCCACCTCAAGCTCGTACGTTCCAGATTTAACAAGTTCATGTGGCCACTTTCTTGCCTATACAGACACCTACACACACTGAACTCCATATTTCTATATATAGATCTAGAGCGACTGGAATTCATCCTAAAAAAAGAAAATATTTCAAAAGAAGGGCTCTTTGAAAGATGAACGAAAGAACACATGTGATATTGCACTTGTAGAAAGTAGTTTAAAACTGTGCAATGGTAAGTTTATGTACTCATGAAAGTAAGAAAAGTTACCAAATCAGCGCATTTTAAGATATATCGGACGGACCTTTATCCATTGCATGGTGCAAACGTGATTACCAAGCACATGTATTTTTGATAACGCTACATTATGTATTTAATCATAGCATTATGAGTGAAATTATATTGTGGACACAAACATCGCCAAATACCATATTCGTGATGCAGATATCTGTTCTGATAAATATATAAATTGCCTTTAGTGTTGAAATTGAAAATGTATTGTTCAGTGAAGTTTTTTCTGTTCTGTTTACAGAGCAATATCCATACCCGAATCGCTCAAGGCTCTTGAAGACACCAATAGAATCGACAGAAGAGTAACCAGATTTGTAGTACCGCTGTCGGCCACACTGGGGCGCTGTGGAAGCAGCGTGTATATTGCAGCGACGTGTATATTTCTAATGCAACTTACAGAAATTGAAACCGATGCAAGCAAAGTTATCCTTGTTATGTAAGTATATCAAACTAACGTCAATCCACCACAATCTAAAACTCACCGTCATATCCTTCTCTGGTACATTTACTTGCTATAGGTCCACGCCCATCACGACAGAAATGTTCTTGTCGGCTTAATAATGTATTCAAAGAATATTCTCATTTTTTTTTGTTGAATAGCCAATTACATTTCACGAGAGGGTGGATATTTTAATATTTTTTCACGAGTGGGTGTATATTTTTTTTTTATATATTTTTCACGAATTGGCGAACATTTTGATATCGTTCACGAGTAAGTGAATATTTTTTATATTTTTCACGAGTGGGCGATTTTTTTTTTTTTTTTTTAACGAGTGGTCGAATATTTCGTTATTTTTCACGAATGGGTAAATATTTGATGGATATTCAACAAATCAGTCCACGAGTGGATGATCAATGTTATTCACCAAAAAACCCCAAAATATTCTGAATCTGTAAATGGATAAACAAATAATCAGACAGGGAGTGATGTATTTTGTCGGTACAGTAAGGAAACATCGAGGCATAAGTGCACTCACAGTTGACAATGTCAATTATTTGCTTTTTTTGGTCTTAAAACTGCACCCCGAATACGGCTAAGTGTGAAAAGATTACCTTGTTTTTAATGCAAATATCCTATATTTCACTGGAAAGTATATATATAGGATTGCGTGAAACCTGTTACGTGTACCCATTACTTAGTACATGATACACAATTACCAAAACATAACCTTATTTGACATTGGAGTTGTCCCCCCTATCCAATATACATGTAGTTTTGTTTTGAAACGACTAAATAAGCATGGCCTGATGTCCAATACGACATGTTCACACATAATGCAATTTATAGAAATTGAACCCGAAAGAGGATATTGGACAAAATGAACCTTAGATGAGTATAGATGCACCTGTAGACCTTAAACGTTTGTTTAATAAAATTGTTTATACACAAACCGTGAAAACATATTCACGAATGTTTCATGCTATACAAATGTTATTTGTTAATTACGTCTCTAAACTCTGATATGACATCCCCACCCCCAAGATCTAATGCAGAAATAATATATGGAGCTAATCATGACCCCTGTATAGATGATAACTATTTTATATATTTTTTATGTCATGGTGATGAAATAGAAAACTACCGAGTTTACCTTACCGATGGAAATATAATATACAATGTATATGTTGTAAGCAATATGGTGCCTTTGCCTAAGGATCCCTGACCCACTGCAAGCACAATTCTAGCGAGCTCAATGTGTTTTTTTCTTCGTATATACGGTGTGTTTATTATATCATCTTAATTTGTTGTTTTCGAAAATTCATGGCTTTCTTTTTTAAATGATTTATGAACGCTATTGTACTATTGTCATGCGAGTCGAAAGAAATAGTTTCCAATGCATAATTATTACTTTTGGCAGTGGCGTGGGGATCCTTAAGGTTGGTTTAATTGAAGTCGTAATGATTAATTTTATTCACAGCGTTCTGACCACATGTTCGTCCCTGGCCATCCCCTCCGTGACCGGGGCCAGTCTGGTGACTGTCATCATCCTAATGACCGCACTGGGTTTACCGGCGGAGACCGCCACGCTGTTGTTTACACTTGAATGGCTTCTGTAAGTATAGAGACAGTCTCAGATCGCTTTGTTTTAACCAGTTAACAATATCAAACAATAACATATTTTATTTGAATGTCACACGTTAATACATACATACCATAGAAACATTTCACAAGTTCAGGTAAAACCCTATTAACACCCAGCCATTACTGACATACGGGACACTTAAAGGCAGTTTTACTTTAGTCGTACAAAACAACACTTAATTCACAATACATTGCAATACAAATATACAAGTTTAATACATACATCATATAAAACTCACACAATTATTCCAACATTAAGAGACTCGGTTCGATATGTTTAAAATACCAGAGGATGCAAACACTAATATGTAGAAAGAGATAATATTTTCTCCGCCTGCCGAACATCAAAAATACAGTCTTTCCTAACATATATCGGAATTAACTATCAGGAGGTTAAATTTGCCGACACTATAAGAATCATAGAAATTTTCACAGGATTGTCCTATTTGGTAAAACAGATTAATTTGCAAATCACTTCATAGGGGACACTCACACAAGAAGTGAACCACTGTTTCCACAGATTGGGAACAGAACGAACAAAAACAAATGTATTGTGTCTATCATTAAACAGGCAGATATGTCCATTACATAACATTATTGCTCAGTTTGTAGACATCGGGTTCTTTGATAAGATAAAATCGATTTATATAATATATGAATGTGATAACATCGGTTACGCATTCTTCTTTAATTGCGCATGAAATATTTGAACATTTTTTTTTTCAAACATAATTATTTTTGTTTCAAGCAATAGGATCAAAGAGAATATATTCATGATTAAAAAAAAATCATTTCACATATTTGATAGACAAGATATTTTAATGAAATTAAGACATGCTCCAAAGCGAATATAAAATTTGAGAGTGTTGATCATTTGTAGAGTTACATGTAAATCATCAATGAAATCCACCTTTTAAGATATTATTTTGTTCTGTGATAAAACTGACGAAATTATTTTGAGAATTAATACAAAAGCTATGTCCGACTTACCCTGCTCAGCAAAACGAATACATCGTTGTTGTTGTTGTTGTTGTTGTTGTTGATATATAAATTGTGCCCCTCACAGAAAATATTCACTTACGAACTGTTTTTGGTAACAGTCTCACTTAGAATATTATTGTTTCGTCTTTTTCGTAATCCCATATCGTATCCCTGGAAGCCATTCATCATAATTATTTCATACATAACCTAGGCCGCGATGTCTGCTAAGTCGATTGGAACATCGATGTACAGGATTTCTTCACTGCGGAGCAGGTCGAGTAATTTTTTAGACTAGTACTTCCGATTTTTGTGATCTATCAGAGATAAAAACAGACCCATCGTTCATGTACTGTAGACAGGAAAATTTCTAGTAAAAAACATATCAAACATTCAATAAAAAAAAAAATCTGTCAGAAAATAAACAAACGTTTCACCTTATCTAATTAAGAAATCACCTAGTCATTTTTCTATTACAAATTGTGATGTATAGCGTGATGTTCTACTGAAGGAATGTGACCTATTTAAAAAAATAAGTGTATTTGTGTTAGCATTGTAACATGTAGACTGGCTACCAGCCCCTAACTTCTTATAAAGAATTTCTCAACCACATGTTACTACTAGCTTATCCCCCCTAGTCTAGGGGCAGACACGTGTTTAAAAGTATTAGAGTTAATTTTCTTTTCTGAATAAGTCGATATTCTAGAGACGGAGGCTAGTCTAGGTAACATATTCAGGGACTGAAGCTCGCTTCATAACAATGATTTCTTCGACAAAAACAATTCACGAACTTCTTGTTGTTCAATGGTTATTTATTACAATGTAAATGACGAGTAAAATTGTGAATTGTAAAAGTCCCAAATGGTATGGTTTCCTTTTCATAAATGATTTATCAAAGCTGAGGTCATGCCTGTGAAATCGGTTTCCAGTGTAAAGCTACAGTATTTGGTACTAGTACCGTGGTCCTTAGATATAATTAATCTTGGACAATACCTTGAAAGGAAGTACATGGCCGTATTGTATCACCACAAAGGTAGAGTACAATGTACATGCACGGGTGATGAATACAAGCTATATACATGTACAATGACATACGGTGCATGACCTGTAGCGCATTGGTAATTAATCCAATTAAATATTTAGCAGGTGTTTGCTACTCAATGGTTTTACATAGCGTTTAGTTATGCACGATGGACATTACTTAATTCCCGCAATATAACTTTTTTAATTTCATATATATTTATTAAGAAAGCAATAACGTCCTTTTGAAAATAATCAATCAAATTCGTGCTGTTATTCAGCAAATGTAAGTTTGTTTCCATATGCCAATATGTTAAACATACAGACAGCGATGTTTTCAACTCCCCGAAAGGGATGATAACACAATTTATAACCATGACCTACTGTTGAAAAAGCTCCTACTAAATCTAACTCAAAGACTATCTTATTAATACCATTAATCTAGAATCATTGCTGTAAGACTACGAATTGGTAGAAAAATATACCTAAAGAGAAAATAGAATCTGTTATCTGTGTTAACTCTATGAAATATGAGTTGAATACCATTTTTATTCTTAATTGTAACGGCCGTCAAATTTTACTTTATAAAAGGAATTTTATATCTAGATATTATATTGACGGACATAGTATTTTTAAATTCGATATCTTATTGAACTAGGTAATTATATAATCACTTGTAAAATTGGTCAGATTCATAGAAGAGCGGATTAAACGCTTAAAATTAGTACGACGGTATACAGAACGGCTTGATGTTTGTTTGTAAACAGGTCTCTGCACTGGGAACAATTTGCTGTTTGTTTGTAAACAGGTCTCTGCACCGGGAACAGTTTGATGTTTGTTTGCAAAAAGGTCTCTGCACTTGGAACAGTTTGATGTTTGTTTGTAAACAGGTCTCTGCACTGGGAACAGTTTGATGTTTGTTTGTAAACAGGTCTCTGCACGGGGAACAGTTTGCTGTTTGTTTGTAAACAGGTCTCTGCACTGGGAACAGTTTGCTGTTTGTTTGTAAACAGGTCTCTGCACTGGGAACACTTTGCTGTTTGTTTGTAAACAGGTCTCTGCACTGGGAACAGTTTGATGTTTGTTTGTAAACAGGTCTCTGCACTGGGAACAGTTTGATGTTTGTTTGTAAACAGGTCTCTGCACTGGGAACAGTTTGATGTTTGTTTGTAAACAGGTCTCTGCACTGGGAACAGTTTGATGTTTGTTTGTAAACAGGTCTCTGCACTGGGAACAGTTTGATGTTTGTTTGTAAACAGGTCTCTGCACTGGGAACAGTTTGATGTTTGTTTGTAAACAGGTCTCTGCACTGGGAACAGTTTGATGTTTGTTTGTAAACAGGTCTCTGCACTGGGAACAGTTTGATGTTTGTTTGTAAACAGGTCTCTGCACTGGGAACAGTTTGATGTTTGTTTGTAAACAGGTCTCTGCACTGGGAACAGTTTGATGTTTGTTTGTAAACAGGTCTCTGCACTGGGAACAGTTTGATGTTTGTTTGTAAACAGGTCTCTGCACTGGGAACAGTTTGATGTTTGTATGTAAACAGGTCTCTGCACTGGGAACAGTTTGATGTTTGTTTGTAAACAGGTCTCTGCACTGGGAACAGTTTGATGTTTGTTTGTAAACAGGTCTCTGCACTGGGAACAGTTTGATGTTTGTTTGTAAACAGGTCTCTGCACTGGGAACAGTTTGATGTTTGTTTGTAAACAGGTCTCTGCACTGGGAACAGTTTGATGTTTGTTTGTAAACAGGTCTCTGCACTGGGAACAGTTTGATGTTTGTTTGTAAACAGGTCTCTGCACTGGGAACAGTTTGATGTTTGTTTGTAAACAGGTCTCTGCACTGGGAACAGTTTGATGTTTGTTTGTAAACAGGTCTCTGCACTGGGAACAGTTTGATGTTTGTTTGTAAACAGGTCTCTGCACTGGGAACAGTTTGATGTTTGTTTGTAAACAGGTCTCTGCACTGGGAACAGTTTGATGTTTGTTTGTAAACAGGTCTCTGCACTGGGAACAGTTTGATGTTTGTTTGTAAACAGGTCTCTGCACTGGGAACAGTTTGATGTTTGTTTGTAAACAGGTCTCTGCACTGGGAACAGTTTGATGTTTGTTTGTAAACAGGTCTCTGCACTGGGAACAGTTTGATGTTTGTTTGTAAACAGGTCTCTGCACTGGGAACAGTTTGATGTTTGTTTGTAAACAGGTCTCTGCACTGGGAACAGTTTGATGTTTGTTTGTAAACAGGTCTCTGCACTGGGAACAGTTTGATGTTTGTTTGTAAACAGGTCTCTGCACTGGGAACAGTTTGATGTTTGTTTGTAAACAGGTCTCTGCACTGGGAACAGTTTGATGTTTGTTTGTAAACAGGTCTCTGCACTGGGAACAGTTTGATGTTTGTTTGTAAACAGGTCTCTGCACTGGGAACAGTTTGATGTTTGTTTGTAAACAGGTCTCTGCACTGGGAACAGTTTGATGTTTGTTTGTAAACAGGTCTCTGCACTGGGAACAGTTTGATGTTTGTTTGTAAACAGGTCTCTGCACTGGGAACAGTTTGATGTTTGTTTGTAAACAGGTCTCTGCACTGGGAACAGTTTGATGTTTGTTTGTAAACAGGTCTCTGCACTGGGAACAGTTTGATGTTTGTTTGTAAACAGGTCTCTGCACTGGGAACAGTTTGATGTTTGTTTGTAAACAGGTCTCTGCACTGGGAACAGTTTGATGTTTGTTTGTAAACAGGTCTCTGCACTGGGAACAGTTTGATGTTTGTTTGTAAACAGGTCTCTGCACTGGGAACAGTTTGATGTTTGTTTGTAAACAGGTCTCTGCACTGGGAACAGTTTGATGTTTGTTTGTAAACAGGTCTCTGCACTGGGAACAGTTTGATGTTTGTTTGTAAACAGGTCTCTGCACTGGGAACAGTTTGATGTTTGTTTGTAAACAGGTCTCTGCACTGGGAACAGTTTGATGTTTGTTTGTAAACAGGTCTCTGCACTGGGAACAGTTTGATGTTTGTTTGTAAACAGGTCTCTGCACTGGGAACAGTTTGATGTTTGTTTGTAAACAGGTCTCTGCACTGGGAACAGTTTGATGTTTGTTTGTAAACAGGTCTCTGCACTGGGAACAGTTTGATGTTTGTTTGTAAACAGGTCTCTGCACTGGGAACAGTTTGATGTTTGTTTGTAAACAGGTCTCTGCACTGGGAACAGTTTGATGTTTGTTTGTAAACAGGTCTCTGCACTGGGAACAGTTTGATGTTTGTTTGTAAACAGGTCTCTGCACTGGGAACAGTTTGATGTTTGTTTGTAAACAGGTCTCTGCACTGGGAACAGTTTGATGTTTGTTTGTAAACAGGTCTCTGCACTGGGAACAGTTTGATGTTTGTTTGTAAACAGGTCTCTGCACTGGGAACAGTTTGATGTTTGTTTGTAAACAGGTCTCTGCACTGGGAACAGTTTGATGTTTGTTTGTAAACAGGTCTCTGCACTGGGAACAGTTTGATGTTTGTTTGTAAACAGGTCTCTGCACTGGGAACAGTTTGATGTTTGTTTGTAAACAGGTCTCTGCACTGGGAACAGTTTGATGTTTGTTTGTAAACAGGTCTCTGCACTGGGAACAGTTTGATGTTTGTTTGTAAACAGGTCTCTGCACTGGGAACAGTTTGATGTTTGTTTGTAAACAGGTCTCTGCACTGGGAACAGTTTGATGTTTGTTTGTAAACAGGTCTCTGCACTGGGAACAGTTTGATGTTTGTTTGTAAACAGGTCTCTGCACTGGGAACAGTTTGATGTTTGTTTGTAAACAGGTCTCTGCACTGGGAACAGTTTGATGTTTGTTTGTAAACAGGTCTCTGCACTGGGAACTGTTTGATGTTTGTTTGTAAACAGGTCTCTGCACTGGGAACTGTTTGATGTTTGTTTGTAAACAGGTCTCTGCACTGGGAACAGTTTGATGGCTGTTTGTAAACAGGTCTCTGCACTGGGAACAGTTTGCGAGAATAACATCTTTGTTATTATATTGTTAAGTGACATTTAGTTATATATTCACCATAAAACACACTAGATGCATTGCACTTGTATTATTGTTAGTTTCGTCTATTATTTAAGTGCACCAAGAAACTAATTCAACGTTGGAAAGACTTAGCGGAAGAGGCCGTGTTTAAAACATTCGGTAAAAGTATACAGATTTTGTTTCAAATTATTTTCTTTTGAATATGTTCTGCTTTCAGTTTAAAAAGTCATTAAACTGTTAAATGTTAAGCGTTCCCGGTAAGGATTCATTCTAAATTTAGACTAAAATCATCTGAAATGAAGCGAAGCTAGCCCCTGTTCAGAATTGGGGGAAGAAGGAGGTACAACAAGAAGTGTTTTTTGTTTTATACTTTAGAAATTTGGTAGACTCACTTGTGTACCAGCGTATAGGCCGCTACTCACATGAGGTAGTTCAAATATACTTTTCCTTTTTTTGTTTGGAAAAAAACCATATTGAAACTACGAATACACAAACACTAAATGTAGGCGTATATAATAAATATAAAAACTGCTGGATAGGAAATCACAAGAGTAGCCACAGGTGGTTAACAAAACAAATTATAATCACTTGCGCTACTTATAACAGCTGTCATAAACACCTATTTATGATTTATTTTGTGATAGGGTGTTGTTTTCTTAAGATAAACAGGTTGATTAAGGATGTTGTCATTTGTCAAAAAGTCATAATATTTACTTGTAAAAAGCGAATATAAAAATTTATAACAGAGTTGGTGACCGTCACTTGAGATAATCCATTACTGCAGTTATTGTCAGCGGTTTCCTCTATCGTCAGATTTTTGTACGTGAAAGAACTTGTTTGTACTTTCAGGGATCGTTTGCGCACTCTTGCAAACTTGATAGTCCAAGCTCTGGGGTCAGTGGGCACTTATAGAGCGTGTCGGTCAGCCCTGCCATTTCAGCCGCGGCCTAGCGTGACCCTAAGTGAGGGATATAAAGGACCAATATCACGTCAGCAGTCCACTGTTTCCGCTTCCGGTTTACCAAAAGAGGATATTGAAGAATTTAAATCGGGCTCAGAGAATAACGGTTATAATGAGCTGACTACAAGGATTTGACATTTGATATTTAGATATATCACTTTTACAATGTATTTTTAAGTTTTTGTGTTCTTTTATACTCGCCAACACTCCATTTAATACAATTAACATTATTTGTATAATCCATTTATGTGAAAAATGTATATACATTCCTGATTTCTGTAGTAATTAAGCACTTCACTTGCATTATTCCGATTTTGAAGTTGTCATATAGTTTGTCACGTACAATGTAATAAGTCGATATAATGAGATTTTTTAATAAAATTTTATAATCTCTACCATGAGTTTGTCCTGTTACATGTACATATGAAACTTTACGATATTTTCCATATTTTACAACTTTGATATAAACAAACTGACATACAATAATTATCTCTTCATTTTATAGGAAAGAGACAGCCACCAGTGTTTAATATTTACAAATATACAACCAGCCAAATTTTAGATTGTTTTATATTTAGGTATTGTCTAGAATGAGTATTGAACATTTCAAAAATACAGGAATCTTATTTTGATGCAATAAGAGAATTTAATCCGAAGCCGAAGGAAGTTAGGAAACATCTTTGATGCATTTCGACTTTCAGCTTGACGTATACTTTTGTCGTCGAAATGAATATTTGGAGGGGTTTGGGGTAGAAAACGTGTTGGATATTAACGCCAGGAATAGCGATAATAGCCTAATCGCGATCTCTATCTTCAATCCAACTGAAAATAAATGTTTGGGAAATCCAACACCAGATCGTATAATCAGATATTGAGAAAAAGCATAAGAAAAAGTGTACTCAAAGGCCAAAGATAATGTCTTAAAAACCTTGAAAACTTGCAGAAATGCCGACAAGAAGTTGTGGTTCTTATTTCACCTGATCTATAGGGTCCTTTCTCTCTTCCTTATGGCGAAGACCATTCGGCTGAAAAGGAGTTTGGTTTGATTTTAAATTGTTTAACGTCGTACCAACAGCTAACAGCAGAGGATGCGGCGGCCATGTTAGATGAACATTCGGAAAGAGAGATTCTTTCTGCTTATCTACTCATATATATCAATTATCGGGTGAATTTTCTTAAATGTTTGGCATGTAGCCTCTGAGGAAATTTCCAAAACCATTTTGCTGAAGAATTTATTATCATTAATTGAGTGAAGATTCATTAGCATGTTGGCGGACGAAGAAAAAGAAGAAACATTGCAAAAGCAATAAATCAAGAAAGAAAGAAATCCGTCGCTTCGATTTTGGACTTATTTGATAAACAATCAATTGTTTCTAAATATTTCTTTACTCTGTCACATATGCATATCGACCATAGACACAAGTACAAATGCATATATGTAGGTGTGAAATATAGATGTATAATATAAACAATTGATAATTGTTCCTCAATTTACCCCTAACTATGTCGTCCCACTGTGTTGGGACTTCCGTTTTCCCATCCTGCCCGAGCAAGCCAGCACGTTACATAAACCAGCAATGTAAGCCTTAAAAATGTCAATATATTAACAAATCTACGATATTTATGCGTAAAGTTAGTTTTAAATGAATATAATCAATCCTTTAGTTATATTTAAGTTTTTAATTTTCTTTGTCTGATCAAGGCAAGATGAATAAATAAAAAACAAAAACAATTATCACTAAGCTATCAAGAAAAAATCTCCCTCTAATATGATTAACTAGGCCTAGTTGTTATTTGTGTGTCGATCGGTCAAATATACTGACCACACACCCATTACTATATCAGCTAAACCTTTACTTAAGCGAGAGTATTTGATAATCTTATTTTGGAACTGAAAGAAAGAAGCATATACCGCATTTGAATTAAGGATCCCTGTCCCACTGCACTGCCGCGTTTGAATTAAGGAGCCCTGTCCCACTGCAGTGCCGCGTTTGAATTAAGGCTCCCTGTCCCACTGCATTGCCGCGTTTGAATTATGGATCCCTGCCCCACTGCACTGCCGCGTTTGAATTAAGGATCCCTGTCCCACTGCACTGCCGTGTTTCTTACACACAACAACCTCCACTTTACTTCCGTTTGGATATAACTGTAGCACATTTGGCTCCAACATCTCCGTTGCCAGGTACACATGTAGCTTATTCGGTTTCAGCGATGGTATAACAATGTGAAGTACAGGGTTCGAATCCCGGACTGTCCCATCTTCGCTAAACAAGTGTTCGCTTCGTATACACTCCACTTATCCTTGGCGGATATAGCCGTGTTCACAGAGCCTTTTAATTTTCCTGCGGTGCCATTCGCTCGATCCAATGAAATCGCGTCTTACATATAGCGCTGTTGACGAAGGAAAACAGTAATGGCGACGCCCTGTACGGAAGCACGTTGTCGTTTATGCCAGAGTGTTTTGTACGGTGGCTGATATGTACCATTTCGTTGTTTCGAAAATCTTAATTCAAGTTGTGTCGTCTTTTCGCCCCGAAAGGACGACAATTAACAAACCTTAATTCTCGCTGTGTCGCCCCGAAAGGACGACAATTAACAAACCTTAATTCTCGTTGTGTCGTCTTTTCGCCCCAATAAGCGCATGCACGATCTTTGGGGAAACCTCTGGAGTGTTAAATCAGTTGGTGGAAATCCTTGACTACGTGTCACATATAAATGATGACCTGGGAAAATATGTGTGCTGCCTTTGGATTGTTTCCATATTGCTCTGTCATTTATACTCCGCCTCGACATACATGTGCTTATGTCAAGACGCCGATGGAGTGTGTATCTAACGGTCATTTTGATTGGTTAAAAGTGTTTTGGGAGAAGAGCGATAACTTGGTATATCCGCTAGGTGGCAGTGGAGGGAATTATGAAAACACGGCTATATCCGACAAGGGTAAGTGGAGTGTATAAGAAGCGAACAATTGGCTAGCGAAGATGAGACTGTCCCCATTGGGTATTTTACATTCAAAATATAGTAACGATTTTCTCTGCTTCACTACGACAACCGCTAGATAAATCCTATCTAAACTACGTCCTCCAAGCGAGAACCGGGGTATTGGCAACGAAACCACAATTGTGATAATAATGATAAAACCATAGACCTTCATATCGCTTAATGAATTAAGACATTTACCAATGAAACAATGACGGCGACCATAAAACCTGTTTGTCAGCATTCGACACCTATATCGGAAATCATCATATTCAGAAACAGCTCTCAATGCATAACCCTTTGCGACATTTTAACACCGTATGTTGGGAACAGGGATGTCACTATCAAGAAAGGGAATGATCACGACAGAAAGATCAAAATCGTCTCAGCATCAAGGCAATCCGCTGATTTAGAAGAGTATTAAGTGTCGTTTATTTTAACTACATGGTCTTTATAAATGATCGACGTGGTCGTCAATCACCAAGTCACACATTAAAATAAAAGCAAGAGCGCCAGTACAAGGGTAAATATTGTTCTCTTTGGACTGCTTAGAGTCTGCTGTAAAATATTGCCTTCACCATTATATCGTTAACCAGGAACACACTTATTCTTGCCAATTATATCGTTAATCAGGAACACACTTATTCTTACCAATTATATCGTTTACCGGGAACACACTTATTCATACCAATTATATCGTTAACCAGGAACACACTTATTCTTACCAATTATATCGTTAACCAGGAACACACTTACTGTTACCAATTATATCGTTAACCAGGAACACACTTATTCTTATCAATTATATCGTTAACCAGGAACACACTTATTCCTACCAATTTAATATGCAGTTACAGTGTACTGTATATCGAGAAATTTTCGCTGCAGTTTTATTCTCGACTTTTTCGCCCTCTGAAATGAGGGCACATTCACCATTACAGCTAGCATTGGTCAACAACATTATTTATATAGTAATTAAATCTGAAAGACGAAATCACATTTGTAATGCTGGGCGATGTAAGATTTTACAAGCGAAGGGCGAAAGTCTGACTGTGCAAAATTGTCCCGGTATGCAGTATTTCATCATCGGCTTTGTCGTGTTATGCACAACATGTTCTCTAATGTTTTACAATCAATTTATTATAATGCCTTCCGCCTTTATTCGAAAAGAAATCTCTCATAATAACAAAACAACGAATGCTTTCATTCAGCTAAAAATAAATGAATGAGTAGTGAGAGGAAAGGTCAAATTTTCTGATCGAAGAAACAGTTTTCGGAAAAGGAAGTTCAAGATTTATGAAATAATTGGTTTGGGCCCTAAATTCAAAACAGATCAAAATAATTTGCAAACCCAATTAAATTACGGACGCCTTTCTTATTGCAATGAATTATATGTACTTTATGGGTGCCTATGTTAATTGAAATAATTACTTTACGAACGCCTATGTTAACGAAATGAAATATACAAGGCGAATATGTAACTGACGTCTGTGTTAATGAAATTAATTAGGAACGCCAGTGTAAGTACATGTAAATGAATCACATTAGTGCTTCGTATGTAATCGAAGTGAATTGCTCACTATATGCCTGTTTCAACGGAAATAATAACTAGATGGACTTTTTGTCAAGAAATTGATCACCTGTAAGCAACTATTTTCATTTTGTTGGTTTTTTTTCAAATGATATATTTTTTTTCGATATAGGAGTCAGTACTAACAAATCTACGCAGGGTGTTCCGATATTCAAAGAATCCAATATACTTTTTTTCCATTCTACCCCAAGAGGAACTCGAAAGTTACCGACATCCGCTTTATCCCACGTCCGGGAAGTTACGCGAATAAAACCGTTGTATTGTGTATTAGCAATGTCACTTGTCATCGCCAAAGCGGCGGACAGATCGGATGACAGATTACTTTATAGCGCACGAGTGCCAAAAACCCTCATTTGCGTCGTAACGGTGTGTGAGGAAACAAGTCCAGTCCAGATAGACCAGCATGGGCTCGCGTTGGTGTTGACAGTCGCAAATCCAAACTCAGCGCCATTTTTAACATGGAATTATTAGTGCGGATTATCACATAACACCGGCACGATGACAGTGGCCCAAATGTTGCCCATAGTTACCCTGTACGCTTCCATTTTCTGTCCGAACAAGCAGCCCATGGGAAACAATGCCGGGAGGGACTATCTGGAACGGTCGGGTCCGAAAACTTGGGAAATCAAATGTTGCGCTCAGGGCTGGAGGTTCGTTCACAGGAGATGTTCGTGTATTCCAATAACCGGGTTGTCCGGTAAGTATTTTGTTTTATGTTAAATTAGATTACGAGAAATTGTTTTAGCTGCAGGAAAAAATTCCAGGTTTGTCATCTATTAATATGTTTTCTGACATAGTTTCTTAAATGTCATGTTTCCCACCCCACTTTTTTTACCCCAGTCATAAAAATCTACCTAGATTATTTTTTGTTTCGGCGATGCACAATATTGTCCTTCAAATTTAACAAGTAATACTTAAACAGCTTTAAAGTATCTCTAACATGACCTGCTGGTATTTCATCGTTTTTATTGTTTGATAAATGTAAGTAACTAAATTCTGCATCTCACTGTGAGAAAAATCCCCTAATTTACCACGTGAAATAGTGTCTGTAAGATTATATAAACACTACCTATAGGAACGTGCTCATACAACAAGACGTTTTTTTCGTTAATGATTCATTATATCACCAAATTTTAATTGATGTATGAAGATTTAGCGTTATATTTACTTGTCTGTCTAAAATACAAATTTACAACTTGAAGTGTGTCTGGGTTTCACGTGAAAGGATAAGTTTTAAACACATATGTCGTCAGTCACTGGTTACGGTAAAGAGCTGATATTTCGCGAGGATGTTATTTTCGTGATAATTGTGATCCGAATTCAATCTGCTAGATAAAAAGTACCGTAAAATATCCGACTAAGTGAAAACCACAGGAAAAACAAGGATAACTCGTGTATGTTGAACGAAAAAAATACACCACGAATTAAATAGATAAAAGTGACGTCGCGGTTAATTATCTACCCGAATTTAGATCATCATACAAATCCCGTACACTATCAAAATGTGCATATCCCACAATGTGTTAAAATGAAACTATTCTGTAGAGTATTGAAACGTACAAATACTGTAGAGAATTGAAACGTACAAATACTTTGTTTAGAATTGGAACGGACAATCATGCATAGTACTGAAGCGTACAACTTGTGTACATCATTGAAACACATACATTTTGTATAGTTTTAAAACATGCATATATTAATATTCTGTATAGTTGAATTGTGCAGGTTCTGTAAATTATTGATAAGTACAACTTGTGTACAGAATCGGAGCAGACAGATCATGCATAGCATTGAAACTTAAAATGAAGTATTGAAACATACGTTTATGCACATTGTTGAAATTAGCATATCTTACTGGATAGTACGTATACATTTTGTATAGTTTTGAAACATACATATTCATATGATGTACAGAAGAAATATTCAAAATTGGCAAAAAAGTATTGAAACGTGCATATTCTATACATTATTAAAATGTACAAATGTTGGAACTTATTGAAACGTACGTATTCTATAACGTATTGAAATGTACACATGTTGTAAAGTATTGAAACGTATATTTCATGCATAATATACACATTTGCATATTCTGTACAGTATTGGTATGTTCACATTCTGTACGGCATCGAAACATAAATATGTTTACAGAATTGAAAAGTATATATTCTGTAGAAAATCGAAATCGATATTTTCTGTACAGTATTGGAATTTACATGTTGTGTTTGGTATTGGAATATAAACATTCTCCACAATAAGTAAAGTACATAATCCGTACACTACGTTAAATATTTGAGTTTGATTGGACTACAAAGTGCTTAATCTTATTTGATTTAGCTCACATTTGACTAAACCTGACAGGGGCTCAGTCATGACCTCAAACTTTAACAATGATTTTGAATAACAGTATTGCTATTTCGCTCTCTGATCAAAACGCAACATACAAAATCTACTTAATTATAAATTGCCATAGATGGTCGTACATTGATAATTACATACTTGTAACGTCACACTTTTATCATCATTAAATTCATATTAATCCAATTGAATTGACGTCATATTATCTAAATGTAAAAACAAAACAAGTACACCTAACAATGATAGTGTTTAAAAGCAATATTCAATCCATTAAAAACATAAAGTTTACTTCGATTATTAAACAGTTATACGATTTCCAATCAAATGTGTCGATACATATAATTAAAATACCCAAGTAATATCCCCGTGTAGCAAACTATGAACTGTGAAATCAGATATTTTAGTGGAGCTTTCCCGACAAAACGACATTTCGGTAGTATAGGAATTCGTGGATTACGAGTACCCACTCAAACGATGAATTGGTCTATTTGTAATTACTTCGTGGACCTATGAATTAGTGGATGAAGATTATCCACGAAAACAACGAAATTAAAACACCACGAAAATTAGTAGCTGTTATTAATGTAATTTTAGAGGATATTCCATTTCGTACTGTAATACATGTAGCCCTAAGTCGCTTTGCAAGACGTAAGGAAACATCGCTTAAAATCAATTATTAAAGTTTAAAACACCAAGACTTATCAGGAGCTGCTTTTTATCAGCAAGTAATTACTGGTCATAAGCCACCTCTGCTTATACCTCCAGATTTGGATTGGAACTTGAGATGTATTCTGTTCTGTTTGCCGTTGGACCCGGTTTCTAACGACCCATTTTTTCCTTAGTGCCACCTCACTAGTATGCTACAATACATACACCGTAGCCTCAATCCCAGACCATTTTATACTCGACCTTGATTAATTGAAAAGTTAGGGCAGGTGAGAAACACTTTCACTGACAATTCATACTTAAACAAGTTCAGGGCTTGAATTGATTGTTAACCTCCCCCCCCCCCCCCCCCCCCCCCGCCACAAATTTAAGGATATCTCTGTGTAATGAAAAACTCTAGAGTTTCCGTAAAATTATATTGTATACAAACGAATGAACCATTACAACTAGTGTGCAAGTAAAATAAAAGCCAATGCACACCCTTGCAAGGTTGTCAATGAGTGTACACAGCTATGATGCACCAGTGATCGTAAAACACTCATTATTATACTGTTGCTAGGACACTGTCTATCGACCTTATATGATTTATAAGTATACTGCTGTATTTTGAGGAACGTGCGACAGGTTGATTGTCGTGACTGACCCAGATTAGTCAGTTTCCCCTCAAATCAGCAGTTTCTCGGCCAGGTGACATTCGGTTTTACCTATTCTATTCCATCGGATATGGACAGTTGTCACGAAAGTGAGCCATACTTGTCCCAGGTGAACTTGGAAAGGAACGATTTCCATCTATATGTAAAGTACATGCACATAAGACATTGATCTATATAGGCAGTTGCCTTCCGATTGGCACTGAAGGTGACTTTCTATAGACGTCACATTTTAATGATATATTAAGAATGTACTTTTCTGAGGTTTTAATCACGTTCAAGTCTCGTTTTGATCTGGTGTAACGGGTTTATGTAGCAAATTTAATAATTTATTAATTTAATAGCAAACACACATCTAAAAATATGTCAAAAAACTAGATGACTGTTGTTGGTACATTTATTTTTACAAGAATTTAAAAGAAATGACCAATTCAGCGGCCATTTTGAAAATGTGTATTATATGTAATGTGTATTTCTTGCGCTTCACAAAAGGCTAATATTTCACCTTTTTTGACACTAAATTGATCACTTAAATTGTCATTGTGTCGTAATTTTTAATTTTAGCAGGTTCAATTTTGCTGTACAACTTTATAATGTTCAATATGATAAAAAGAATATGCAACAAAGTGGAAAGTTATACATTATTGGTATTTAATTTTTACATATTTAGTATAACTGAAACACTTTTGATTTTTGACCCCGAAAAAGGTGAAATATAGCACAAATAATAATGGGACAAAAAAGAAGCACACGAAATGATATTTTCATCAATTCTACAAACATTCATACATACACACTTATAAGAAATTGTATGAATTTGTTCTGCAAATGGTCAAAACCAAACAAATCACCTAAAATCACATATTGTGTTAAATTGGCATCTTTGACCGATCATAGCACAAAAACGAAAATAGGGACAATTTTTTTTAGCATTTTCTATTATGCCATTAACTCCCTTTTCCAAAAATCCATATAAGAAAAAAAGTTTTATACAGGAATATTTTGACTTCTCAGAGGTGTACATCCTTGGACTGTAAGAGATCATTTTCACACATAAAAGTTTTAATTTTCGTTCATCGCGTTCTATACGGTTGAACTGGTTGGATCAGAGTTGTCCGTTTATTAAATAAGATCGGACCTAGTAATCTGATGCTGCTTTCAGACGAGCCTTGGCAAAGCCTCACAAGGCCTGCATAAACTTTTGCAGGTCCGCCAGGATTTATATCCGAAAATGTTACATTTAAAAACGGACGTACCGGTTGTTCCGCATACACATAGAGGCCTCAAATAAATCCAGATTTCATTGTAAAACAAATAGACTTAAGCATATGTCCCAATAGAACTATATTCTGCAGAAACGATATTTTTTCTTTTATGTATACTGCTTAGGAGATATTGGAGACCCGCTGAATCCCACTAAATATGTATTGCACGAGGCGACTCATGTGGAGGATCGTGCAGACTCATGCATTTTCTCCTGTGTCTTCTGCTTATGGGAAAATTCGATCTCCTGCAACCATTTAGACATTTTGGCTACCTTTCTTATACATTTTACCTACCAGGCTACTAACTACTCATGTGAGCAGATGCAGCAGTATTTTGGTATAGTCATTAAAAATAAGAACAAAGAGAACTAATGCAATATTTTAAGACTGAAAACGAAATTATTCATTTGTATATGAACATCATTCGAAATATTTCTAAAATAAATGTAGCAGACTTAGCTCGAAGAAGAAAAACTCCTACTACTCGAAATATTATGCGCATTGGTTCTGTTATGATATATCTGTTTCCCTTGCTTATAGATGTATTTATTTTACGAATTTGATCCTTAGCTCTTGATTAATAGACGCGAAAACAAATGATATATAGAAGAAATTTATTGAAAATAAAGACAACACGGTGTATGTGTATTGCTATTATTCAAGGAGGGGAGATATAAGTTTCAGCTAATAATTTGTTTCCCGAACAGCATTGATAAATTATATATTGGATGGTCGGTTGGCGCAGTGGATAACGCACCAGCCTTCAAACCATGACGTCAGGGTTTCTACTTCCCAATCGGACGTCAACTGGTTTGCTCAACTGCAAGACCACGTTGGTTTTCTCAAGGGATTTCGGTTGCCCTCCCTCATAATCCCCGCAGACAATTTATATAAGCCGTAATAACTAATTTCGTAATTTTTGCAAAATAAGACAAAAAAGATTTTTTTTTATACAAAAAATAAAATATTTAACAATATACGGACAAATTATGGACAAAAGACAATAAATACAGTTGGGAGCAAACGTATCTTGGTATCTAGTGCACTTTGTAGTGCACACGTAGTGAACAATGAAGTGCACTAGACCAAACATTGATGTGCACTCCAGTTCACTTCAATGTTAACTCCAGTGCTCTACGTTGTTAAATCCAGTTATTACGGTGTTAACACCAGCGCACAACGGGATGCACATATAAATAATACGCTTTCAGCATAGTTGAACACTAAACTAAATGAAGCATTATAAAACCACATTTTGTTTGCAGGCTATGGCCAACATCCTGGTAATGGAATGCATGGGATCAAGCCATCCATGGGTAACGGTCCGGGAAACCCGTTCTTACCTAAGGATCTGCATGGTCAAGTGGACATGATGACTTCTTCCGGTGCCGATGTGTATCATACCATTAATCATAATACATTTCAACTTGTAGATTTTATAAAGGATAACCGTGCTAAACAAAACTTGAATTCCAATCGAAGAAATGCATTCCTTCTTCAAACACACAGACTGAACCTTCAAAAATATCTGAGGCAAAAACAAATATTTTCAAGAAGCAATGTCAATAGTGACCTTTCATTAAATGGAAAACATCTTGTTCCTATAAGACATTCACAGTCAAATGGGAAAGGGAATTTAATTGTAGTAACAACGCGTCGGAGGGAAAATAACAGACCCAGCTTGGAAAGTAACCAAAATGCTAATGTTCTTGTTGACAGGCACAATACGGCCGGTACAAACTCATTAGATAGTCATGTTGTGTTAGGGAATAATGGTAACACACCTGATGGAACACAATGGATACCTGATATTTCACAGACGTTTTCGGGTAGTTCTCCTTCCGGAAATACATTTCCCGTGAATAGTGTTACAAATAGTGGAGGAGTCTTACGTTCTCCCGCCAGTACGCAATGGATTCCTGATCATTCACAGACGCTTTCGGGTGGTTCTCCTCCCGGAAATACATTTCCCGTGAATAGTGTTACAAATAACGGAGGAGTCTTACGTTCTCCCGCCAGTACGCAATGGATTCCTGATCATTTACAGACGCTTTCGGGTGGTTTTCCTTCCGGAAATACATTTCTCGTGAATAGTGTTACAAATAGTGGAGGAGTCTTACGTTCTCCCGCCAGTACGCAATGGATTCCTGATCATTCACAGACGCTTTCGGGTGGTTCTCCTCCCGGAAATACCTTTCCCATGGATAGTGTTACAAATAGTGGAGGGGTATTACGTTCTCCCGCCAGTACCGGTACCGCAGGGGCTACGGGTAGCATGCTCGACGTGTTTGCACCTACACAATCACAGTTTGTTGCAGATGGAGCTCTCTCCAACACCGGTAACGGCAACTTCCGGAACAGTATTGGAGCAGATAAAACACTCAGACAAACCGGAACTATTGGCCTGGGTGGTCTTAGAACAAACGGGATGTCTGCAGATATCGGTGTTGGACTTAATTCTGGTCAAAACAGAGGCAGACGTCTAAATTCAATGAAGAATGGCGGTGGTGTTGGCTCTACTAGTGGTATTAACTTAAATTCGAATGGTGGCATTAATTCAAACGGTGGGGGAAAATTCATGAATCCCCTTCAAGCAAATAATATTGGTATAGATAGTCTAAAGGTTAATGGTGTTACTGATTTCAGTGGAAACATAAATATTGATTCGACCATCGGCAGGAATATTGATTTGAATAGTGGTGGAGTATTCGCTGGTCCCTCCCATACCGATGTTACATCAGGAGCAAATATCAATTTGAACGGAGGTAGTCCTCAAAGTGGAAAAGGTAGAAATTTCGATTTTAGTCGCGATGGAACCTTCGCAATTGATAATCAGTTTGTGCGGAAATCAAATGGTGGCGAAAACTCTGTGAACTCTCATTTACAATCAACGATTAAGATGGATTCGAATTTTAAAAATCAGGCATCTTTCGCTTCCGATATAACCATGGGAGGTATTGGCAATTCAATAGTTGGCGATTTCGGCATGGAACCTCTCCAATCGGTAACAGGTAGAAGTAACAGCTTCAACTTAAATTCGCAAGATCCTGGTTTCATTCCAGATTCTGGGTTTAACATGTTTGATCAAAGCAATACATTTGATCTAGCTGGATCAGTAACGAATAAAGATACCTCAAATCAAAATCCTGGCGGTGCTGCTTCTAATGGGATTGGTCTGGATCTTTCATCCATGCCCGGAGCCGAGTTATTTTCTGCTCTGATGAGGAATGGAGGTGGTTTAGGCCAAGTAGGTGGGAATATTGTTCCTGACAACAACATAAATCCTACCGCTAGACAACAGCAAATATTTCCCCAAATTACTGGTGGTGTTAATAATGGACTACTTCATAACTCTGATACGACGCAGTCTTTAATTGATCAACTCACAGCTTTGAATAAGGCAAACAACATGCTGGAATCTAGGCCTAAGTTTAACAGTGGCTTGGGGGATATGTCAATTATCAATGGCCTGGGGAGCTCTTTGGGTTTGAACGGAAATGACTTGTCAGTTGGAATTGCTGATAGTATTGCGTCCTCTACATTCGATAACAGTATACCTACAGATCCTTCAATGATGAATAATGCAATGTTACTGGCCGATACAAGAATTCTAGAGAGCCCAACATCTCTTCCACCTAGGTTAGTTACAGAGACTATTTTATTGGACACTCAGAACCCGCTGATCAAACAAAATTCATCAAATAGAAAGTTCACTGTTGATATAACCAGCGGGGATCCTTCAGTCAGGGGAACCGTCAATAGTGGGGTATCAACAGCTGGGACACCTGGAAGAGGACTTGTAGTTGATGGAATATCGAGGGAGGTTTTGGCCGAAAGTCACATCGGCAATATGGGCGTGGGAGAGGCCAGAGGGAAAAACATGGGTATGACGGATTTTGGTGTAGTAAACAGTGGTATAGTAGGAACTGGTTTATTGGGTGGTGGCTCGAGCGCCGGAGGAAGAATGAATGAAAGATTGCCAGGTGGATCAAACTCATTAGGCTTGAACATCGGAGTAAATACAGCTACTGTTCCAGGTAGTACAAACGTACTGTTTGATGGCTCCGCAAGAACCCCAAAGCAAATAGTCAAACCAGTGGACATATCTGGTTCCAATGCATCTGTAGGCTCTAAGGTAACAAGAAGTCAGTCTGGATTTGGTGTAAGCGGTTTACAAAGTGTTCCGCGAATTGTGCATCGACCCTCGAATGAACAATCTGCCATTGAGACTTCCATCAATCAGATATTGACGATCTCGGCAGCCGAGACTGAAATTGCAAAGGCCGCCAAGAAATCAACTTCGGAACAGGAAAGAGGGGCTTCTGCAGCAAATGTTGGAGGGAGGTTCGTTAGTCAGACCGAATTAGGACTTTCATCCATCCGTTCCAGCAAGGACGGTACACTATCGCCAGGTAAAGATTGTTAAATGTGTCAGCTGTGGAATATTTGAGCAAATCTTTCTTCATTATACATGAATGCTAATTTAGTACTGTATGTGGATTCGATATCATTGATCTTATTGAAGTTTTAACACCGTCTTAGTGAGTGACTGAAGTAAACGGTATTTTCTGAAAGAAACTTTTTTATTATGTATATTAGAGGTATGGTATGTTTACTCAAGGTTTTGTCTTGATTTTCTTGTTCCACACAGATAGTAAGATAGTAAGGGGGTAAGGTGCATTACATATTTCCTACATATCTGATTGAGTATTTTATTCCAAATGCTTTTAAAGTAATGACTGTATTTTGAAGATTGCAGCAAAATATTAATCTTAATTTCAGAATATTTTAAAGTTATCTTCTGAACAAATTAAGAAGTTTATCATCCCTTTCTACTGAAAAAATAAAATGCTATAACTGCAAAACAAACCCGGAATGAGCTATTCAATAATTATAACTGATCCATGTCTTATCAATTAACTGTAAAATAAACAACGTTATCAGAATCGTCTAATAGTCTAGTCAACAACGCAATTATACTATGATTAAGGTATATTGCGAAAGTAACACTTGTCCTTGAAAGTCATAGTACTATCGCTCACTCTGTACCTATAATTTGATCAAAACCTTCAAAATTATAACACCAAACTTGTTTTCTTTGTTCCTCGATTGTTTATCATCTTTTTAATATTCTCTTTATTTTCAATTTTTACACAGCCGTTTGTCTTGGGTGCACTATGGATGGCGGATTAGGATACATACGTCATCCCTCCCGGTGTGATCAATTTGTCGTATGTTATCCGGATCAGTCTGGTCTCTTTAAACCTCGAGTACAAGATTGTCCTTACGGACAGTTCTGGAGTAATATTGATGTCACATGCAAACCATCTAAAGACGTCAACTGCGAACACGGTGAGACAAACTAATTGCTTCAATAAGTTATATCGAGACAAAGTTGAAGAACTTATGACTTAATTTCTGCTGTTTTGCATTGTTCTGTAAGGAGGGTACTTATTATGTTTAATGCAAAGTTGTCAATATTTGTTTTCCATTTTTGTGAAGTCACGTGAATTTCTGAACATTTAGCTGATAATAAAAAAATATAAATTATATTTATCCTGAACGTACAGATTAAATTTTAATTGTTATTTCCTAAAGTTTGAGTTAAGAGTTGTTATTTTAATTTAACTCGTGACCATCCTAACAAGATTGTAAATTAATTCACTCTTTCTTCTTTCACTCCGTAATTCCACATCACTTAGTCCTTGAATGTTTTTGTCGTTTATTTTTGTTTGTTTGCTTGTCCCTTTTTTTATTATAAGTGGCTTTTTAATTTTTGTTCGGTATTAACCGATATATATGTACATAGTTAATTCTTCTATGATTACGATTTAACGCAGTTGATGTAATTTTCATTTATTAAATAATACCTGTTGAAAAACCGGTTTTGTGTTAATAACACCTTTTTTGTTTTTATAGTTTTTGCATTATTAATAATTGATCAACATCTATAAGGATCTTTTTTTTGCGTTATTAACGATTTAACAATTAAAAGATTTCTTCATGAATTTTCCTTTTTCTTTCTTTTGACGAATAGTTAGGTTGTGCAGGCATATATTCCTTGTAAAATTAACCGAGTTGCTAATATTTGAATAATTGTATCCAAAATATTTCTTAATCAGTAGAATAAATTCATATTTAAACATAACAGAATACAGCTATATGGACATGCGATACACTGACAGTATGACAGACTACACGATTAGATATTTCCATGGATTTTTTTATGCTTTGTGGGATTTTTTTTATCATTAGTATTTAATAACCTAATCACTATACTAACATAATTCTCTATATACGTCAGAATAACTCCCCCACAACAGAATAATTATGTTGTTTTGTCAATAAACACAACACTTAAGGCAACTCTATGAGCTTGACCTATATGGTCAAGGCATCTGTGCTTGGGGTCAGTAATAGTGAGAGTAACAACATGATACTTGCAATGTTCCCCTCTACGATGTGTCAATATGGGTTCATAGAACGTGAGATATGCTACGGTATTATCAGTCTTGTATACAAATTGCATAGCAGTATACAAAGACGAGACATTTTTACATTAGGGCGTACAATGATACACCGATAGCCACAGATAAACCACTACGCTTGAATTCCGATCAATGCTTTTCGCCACTGCACAACCGTCCCAAAACTGACATACAATTCCAAGGACAATCCCTAAACAAATTATACCATGCAGTATCAAAATCAACACACATATCGCAGTAAATTTAATCATAGTTATTTATAGACTAAGTCAAATGATTTTGGCTAAAATCAAGTATAATTTGCAACATTTCAATTATATCTATGGCTTCTTTTTTGTCTTTAACGGAAATTTCATCTGTATGCACATTTTAATGTTACGTAAGGCGATTAATACCCACTCGTGTCTTTTTAGCTTTCGTTAGTCAATATACAAGTTATTAAACATTCAGTCAGTCTTTTATGGATACAGAAAGAAAACCGTTTTCTCATAATTCATCTATGGATGCATAGTTTCCCTGTGATCATTGGTCATCATAATAATTCGGTACTGTTTTTCCTATTGATAAACAAACCGCACTTTTGTATGACATAATGGAATTTTGATAATTTGGAAATCAATGGCATATTTCTCTTTCAACAAAGCATATCTTTTTTTTCTTCATTTTCTTCAATTTCGTCTATTCCTTTTACGTCGTAGTTCTTTTTTTATATGGTTAATATATCATCCAAACATTTTTCTCGTTAAATAAAAAACATTGCCCTTAATTATCTGAATTTAGAAAGTGTTATGTTATTTTATTTATAAGAATAACATATTAACGTACAATGCCTTAATACTATATGATACAATAAAGAAGAGCATTTTTATAATTTTTACTTATTTGTTCCTATATCAAACAGATTTCTGTAAAAAGCTTGCAGACAAGTTCCAATTCTCACATACGACCAACTGTGTCGCATACTGGCAGTGCCAGGCCGGTCATTCGGTCATGAGGTGCTGTCCTGAGGGGAAAATATTTGTCCAAGGAGAGGGATGTATCTTCAGCTCTGTGTGTGCGGACAGGTGTCCAGTAAGCAGCCCGTTACAGTTTATGTGGCAAGGTAAATATTGATCTATTAGCGTTATAATTCTTAAACCAGAACTTTAGTAGTCGTTTCTTAACGCGACAGCTCTCAGGGTAGAAATTACACAAATAATAATGTCTTAATACTAAACGATTAATTTTCACACATACAAAAAGGTTCGGAAGCGGTAAATGTGTTTTCCCCGCGTATATCAACAATGTGTTAGTTAATACTGCATTTATTCAACCAATAAATAATATTTAGAAAAAATGTTGTACCAGATTATTTTCACATTTCTTTTGCAATAAGATGAATCCATCTTGTCATTGTTTTGCTCAAGGAAACAAACAAACTAAATTCCCTGAAGAGTTTTGTAGTGAAATTCAATTTAGACCTAACTATTTCAGAAGTGCAATTTCACGAAGATGCAAAACATTTAACTAAGCTTAATAAAAGCGTCATCCTTTAGTATCATACAATTTCACTAAAATATATATATTATCGATAAAGTAATAAAAATATCACTACCGAAGCAACTGCTTGAACAACAATAGCTTTTTAATAATGTGCAATTCTTCTTAAAGTTCATATACCGCTTCACTTAGCTAGATTTGAACGGAGACAAGATAGGCATCAAATCGTATATAGGAAACTTTCTGTGAAATCAGCTATTTCTGACAAAATACCATTTCGTGGGTACATGGATTCGCGATTACGAGTACCCACTCAAATGAAGAATTGCATTGCTTGTAATTACTTCACCTACCTATGAATTCGTGGATGAAGATTACCCACGAACCCCCCNATGGTATAAATATGTCCTCTGTATATTGACTCAATTGTATACGATTTCTTTTTGAATTAAGCGCCTTAATTTTCCAGAAAATTGTAACAAGAGACCCGTTACGTCCGATGTGACAGCATACGAGAAGCAGATTTCTTCAGGATGGGTTTCTGAGAAGTGCAGTGTCGGGCAGATTTACAAAGGGGAGATTTGTGACTGTATACCAGCAGCCATGGGGAATCCAACTTATTCGTTCAAAGGAGGCGAGTTTCAGCATTGTTTAAACGCTGCTTGTTTTATGTTTGTTGATATATTTTGTCACTCATTTATATTTTACGAACAAGTATTACATTTATGATTTATTTCATGATTATCGGAGCATTGTATGCAGTGAAACTTGTGCTCGGTCAATTGGTCGCCCTCTACAAATTTATATCTGTCCAGTGTGTCCGCCCTTCACACGTGATTACTATATAGGGCATGCTGTGAATTTATAATCACCATCATGATAAATTTGCCCTCATTGTGGATAGCAAACAATGGTGGAAGTTAATTAATTATATAATGATATCATATTCTGATATGTATGAAATAAACAATTTCGTCACATCGTCGTACAGAAGAATAATACCAATTGTTCACACAGTCATAGCCTGATAAAGAAGACAGTCGGTCTCACTCAGTCATAGCCTGATAAAGAAACCAGTCGTCTCATTCAGTCATAGCCTGATAAAGAAACCAGTCGGTCTCCCTCAGTCATAGCCTGATAAAGAAACCAGTCGGTCTCCCTCAGTCATAGCCTGATAAAGAAACCAGTCGGTCGCACTCAGTCATAGCCTGATAAAGAAACCAGTCGTTCTCACTCAGTCATAGCCTGATAAAGAAACCAGCCGGTCTCACTCAGTCATAGCCTGAAAAAGAAACCAGTCGGTCTCACACAGTCATAGCCTGATAAAGAAACCAGCCGGTCTCACTCAGTCATAGCCTGAAAAAGAAACCAGTCGGTCTCACTCAGTCATAGCCGAATAAAGAAGCCAGTCGGTCTCACTCAGTCATAGCCTGGTAAAGAAACCAGTCGGTCTCACTCAGTCAAAGCCTGATAAAGAAACCAGTCAGTCTCACTCAGTCATAGCCTGATAAAGAAACCAGTCGGTCGCACTCAGTCAGAGCCTGATAAAGAAACCAGTCGGTCTCACTCAGCCATAGCCTGATAAAGAAACCAGTCGGTCTCACTCATTCATAGCCTGATAAAGAAACGAGTCGGTCGCACTCAGTCATAGCCTGATAAAGAAACCAGTCGTTCTCACTCAGTCATAGCCTGATAAAGAAACCAGCCGGTCTCACTCAGTCATAGCCTGAAAAAGAAACCAGTCGGTCTCACTCAGTCATAGCCTGATAAAGAAGCCAGTCGGTCTCACTCAGTCATAGCCTAATAAAGAAGCCAGTCGGTCTCACTCAGTCATAGCCTGATAAAGAAACCAGTCGGTCTCACACAGTCATAGCTTGATAAAGAAACCAGTCGGTCTCACTCATTCATAGCCTGATAAAGAAACCAGTCGGTCGCACTCAGTCATAGCCTGATAAAGAAACCAGTCGGTCTCACTCAGTCAAAGCCTGATAAAGAAACCAGTCGGTCTCACTCAGGCATAGCCTGATAAAGAAACCAGTCGGTCTCACCCAGTCATAGCTTGATAAAGAAACCAGTAGGTCTCACTCATTCATAGCCTGATAAAGAAACCAGTCGGTCTCTCTCAGTCATAGCCTGAAAAAGAAACCAGTCGTCTCACTCAGTCATAGCCTGATAAAGAAGCCAGTCGGTCGCACTCAGTCATAGCCTGATAAAGAAACCAGTCGTCTCACTCAGTCATAGCCTGATAAAGAAACCGGTCGTCTCACTCAGTCATAGCCTGAAAAAGAAACCCGTCGGTCTCACACAGTCATAGCTTGATAAAGAAACCAGTGGGTCTCACTCATTCATAGCCTGATAAAGAAACCAGTCGGTCTCACACAGTCATAGCTTGATAAAGAAACCAGTGGGTCTCACTCATTCATAGCCTGATAAAGAAACGAGTCGGTCGCACTCAGTCATAGCCTGATAAAGAAACCAGTCGGTCGCACTCAGTCATAGCCTGTTAAAGAAACCAGTCGGTCTCACTCAGTCATAGCCTGGTAAAGAAACCAGTCGGTCTCACTCAGTCAAAGCCTGATAAAGAAACCAGTCGGTCTCACTCGGTCATAGCCTGATAAAGAAACCAGTCGGTCTCCCTCAGTCATAGCCTGATAAAGAAACCAGTCGTCTCACTCAGTCATAGCCTGAAAAAGAAACCAGTCGGTCTCACACAGTCATAGCTTGATAAAGAAACCAGTCGGTCTCACTCGGTCATAGCCTGATAAAGAAACCAGTCGGTCTCACTCAGTCATAGCCTGATAAAGAAACCAGTCGCTCTCACTCAGTCATAGCCTGATAAAGAAACCAGTCGGTCTCACACAGTAATAGCCTGATAAAGAAACCAGTCGGTCTCACTAAGTCAAAGCCTGATAAAGAAACCAGTCGGTCCCACACAGTCATAGCCTGATAAAGAAACCAGTCGCTCTCACTCAGTCATAGCCTGATAAAGAACCCAGTCGTCTCACTCAGTCATAGCCTGATAAAGCAACCAGTCGGTCTCACTCAGTCATAGCTTGATAAAGAAACCAGTCGGTCTCACTCAGTCATAACCTGATAAAGAAACCAGTCGTCTCACTCAGTCATAGCCTGATAAAGAAACCAGTCGTCCTCACACAGTCATAGCTTGATAAAGAAACCAGTCGGTCTCACTCAGTCATAGGCTGATAAAGAAACCAGTCGTCTCACTCAGGCATAGCCTGGTAAAGAAACCAGTCGGCCTCACACAGTCATAGCTTGATAAAGAAACCAGTCAGTCTCACTCAGTCATAGCCTGATAAAGAAACCAGTCGTCTCACTCAGTCATAGCCTGATAAAGAACCCAGTCGTCTCACTCAGTCATAGCCTGATAAAGAAACCAGTCGTCTCACTCAGTCATAGCCTGATAAAGAACCCAGTCGTCTCACTCAGTCATAGCCTGATAAAGAACCCAGTCGTCTCACTCAGTCATAGCCTGATAAAGAAACCAGTCGGTCTCACTCAGTCATAGCTTGATAAAGAAACCAGTCGGTCTTGAAACGTTTTGACACGTTTGACATGCATACTGTTTGTGAATAAAGTGAAAAATTGATAATATTCTGTTACATTTAAATCAGTTGTACTTACATTTCATATAACGGCATATATATAAGCATATATGAGGTTGTTTATATCATTGATGACATACTATCATAATTATCAAACATGGCTTTTTATTTCATTAATATTTGTTTTGTATTTAACTGATGAAGACCTTTCCTTGCCTTTTGCAATTTCAGTTTGTAAACCCGAAGTTTTCCTCCCATTTGACACTGACTTCAGGGATTATTCCGGAAGTAATACCTTTGTAAGAACTGAAAACGTGACACTTTCAAACGGCGCTGCATGTTTTGATGGGACATCTGTTATCTCCATGCCTAAATTTGCTAATATGGATTTCGGTAAAACAGTTTTTATGAATATCAGATACAAACAAATGGACCTTAAAATTGACACTGAAGCATTGCTGTACAATGGAGATTGTGAAGAGATTCCTACGTTAGTTGTAGGCACGAAGCCATCGGGAAACTCTTTTTCAGTAAAAACCAATACAGGGGCTTTTCAGACAGCATGGGTACCATCTTCGGTAAGTGCAAACTCGATGTTAACAGTACCTAACAGAAGTGAATATAGGTTGGTATTTCGTCCGCCATTCCGTTCACGTAATAGTCTCTGTCAGTCAGTCCGATAGGCAGGCAGCGCGAAACTTTGTCAGTGACAATACTCAAATACTCATCTACAAATTACAAAGTGTATATGCAATAATATCATATAAGTATAATTGTGTTGTGGGAAGGCGGACTTTTTCGTACTGAAATCGGGTCCTTTGTACCTACTACATGATATCAAAGTTTCCGCGAGGTAAACGTTTCTGGACTGATGCAATACATTGCCCTGTAGACACCTTATTAAAAGTAATCACAATATATATAGCAAACAGTATGATGCATGATAATAAACCATCTATATTTATATAAGAAAAACAATCATCGTAAGAAGCATACATAGAGACGATTTACCTGTCCTGGGTTTGGAATGATCAATCCTTTTATACGTAGGGAATACATGCAATTTGGATCCTTATTTCATTTACCTTTGATAATGCTTTTAGCAAACAAACGTTATATTGACTTTGAAATACATTACGGCATTAGAAATTACGCTCCCTCTAACCATGGTTTATCATCATGATGTCTTAAAAGTATTTGTTAAAAATAATTTAACTTCTACAAAATACGTACAAGTTTGAACTTGCAGTAAAAAATAACTCGGATCAAAATACATACATGTATATATATTAATGAGACATTATTAAATTTGATTAACATGAGTATACATTTGACTTGTTGTTTTATTTCATGAATATTTATTGACAACAAATATCTAATTTACTTTTCTGATAAAATGTAATGTAATATTGTTCATTTCCCCCTGAAAATGTTGAACATCTTCCAGGAATAGCGATTATTCAGGTTTCTATATATAACTTTTATAATTGATATGAATTCTAGGTTCAGACCTCAGACTGGCGAGATGTCACAATAACCATCAGTAATGGCCGGCTTGAGGGTCAGTCCGGTATCAACGCTCGGGACATAGACGTTTCAGGTAAGTTAAATATATCATCACATCTAAACGATCCCGTCGTGTTAATACACAATTGGTTATTTACTAATAGTTTTTGATATTTCTATGACATAGTGCTACTATCAAAGCATTATTAACTGTATTCAGAAGAACAGGATCTGCACTAAGCGTATGTCATTAGGAGGATACATAGAGCCGGACTGAGGCCGATTTTAATACGTTGCAGTTTATATATACCAGTCACGTGGTATAATGTATAATATACATGACCTTAAATGGTCAGCAACATGCTGTCGACGATGCGTATCGACATGATAATATATCAGACTTTCACCAGGTTAAATGGAAGTAAAATCGTAGGAAGGATCGATATTAATTTTCAAATGTATCCTTTATTAATAACTTACACTATTAAGAGTGGTGAGTTAATACTTGCTGTGTTATATTCAACCTACTTATATGCGATTTATAATAAAACCAATAAATTTCATTTCATTTAAAAAAAAACACTTCTTGTGGTCCATATAACCGCATATTCACCGAAATTAAAAGTCCTTAATTGCTATATAAGATGCTAATTAACATTTTTCTCATTAAATAATTAAAACTTATCAAAACTGTACATAGGAATGTACTGCATTTGGCGGGAGGCATTGTGACGTTATAATTGAGCTGACGTTATAAAATAAATGTTGGCCTGCCGTTTCTAAAAATAGAAACACCGAGTCATTATAAACATTATCACCGACATCCAAGTGGTTATTATTCAACCACTGAGGAGGTAGGGAAATGTGTGTCATCGAATAAAATATGTGTACAGTAACTGCGTTATATGTCGTTTTCCTCAAAACAAAAAGCTACGAATTTGGAAGAACCTTGCTGTTTTTATTGATACAACGTTTAGATAAATTAGATTTGGTGATGTTTTCACAATCCAAGAACATGATTAATGTACCTGGTAGGAACGGACCCTTTTTGGTTTGGAAGTTGACTACATGAAGGAGCCTTCTTAAAGTTGATGTATAAGGAGTGCATGACAATGCTTAAGTAGATACCTTGTCAAAATTGGAATTAAACAAATAATGGTTATATTATCAGTGACAATATTATATTGTTAAGTCATATACAATGAGTTCCCTTTAAAACCATATAAAGTAAATAAGAGGGTAAACATGTGTTGTCATGTCCGAAGACATGTTGACTGAGGCCACAGTTAGTAAAGATAACACTTATATGTCAAGACACTTGCTTTAGCCTATGGGATTTGGGAGTGTTCACGATGTCTTTTGTTTTGATATCTGGCACAATTTAAAAGTGATGATGTAAGTGCAATAAGAAATGGAGCCTTTAGTGAATTTTGTTTATTACATAATACACTTATGTCCTTGTTTGTCTTTTTAATGTACACAAAAACGTGACTGTACAAGATGTTGTTGTTTGAAAAATGAAAACAACCGTCTCTTTGTATCGTCTCGAATTGGAGTAATATTTGTGTGTTAATGCTCCAGTTAATTTTGTGATATGTTTATTATTTATATTTCAAATTCCTTACTTAGTGTACAACGTATATTGTTAAGATTGATTAACTTTATGCAAAATACTCGAAGACAGATTTGACATGTGAAGCATATGGAATACATTTTACGTGGGTAATCTATAACACTCTTTACCTGGTTTCCATTTTAATGGTCTTTATATATACGCATTAAGTGACTACTATCTTATCTAACTGTTGTTGATTCGATAGCATCATTGGTACTTTCCTGTATATATTACTTATTATTCATGAGTTATAAGCATCACTGAAGAAACAGAAATATGTCAGATTTTGAAATGAATAATGAAAGTGATCATGCTGACACTTACGTGTAATTTCGACATGCGTTTCTTTAAATATTGTTAAATAAGCAATGCATTAACATTATATTAAAATAGTCAGCCCGATACTTTCAAGCTGTTACGTGTAAGTATCTATCATTGTATGACAAGCTAAGTATATAAACACACCTATTTCAGGCTCGAGTGTATGTTGATGTTTCTGACTTTATGAAAACGAGGAGAAGTTATATATAAAGTATATCATATCTTATTTATCGCTTTGTCTCCATTATATATTTATTCCACGAGAACACAGTGAACAGCCGACGGTAATAATGAACATATTGTATTAGTCCTGATTATAATTAATCTTTATCACTATACAACTGTCTAGACATGGTTGACAGTTATTATCATTATCAGTACATCTACACACATAACCATTGCTATTCATTATACATCTGAGATATCAATATGACTGATAATAAATGTATATCGGAAACAATAAAATAAACATATAATTCAAATGTCTAAATCAACACAGTGTGACTATGGATTTTACCGGCGTATGCGAAAGTTGTGCTGGGTGAAAATGTTCACGGTATACAGTATTTTGATACTATGCCTTAAGAGGTAATAGTTTACTGTTGCTAAGCTATTTCATAAATCATTTATAAAAACCGTCGTATCGTATCTTTTTTATTATGTTTTGTGGTTTGGTAGAACGCATTTAACTTTGAAACATATGTATGATGAACATTAAGTAGGGTAAAACAACCTAACACGGGACAAGTTTGAATTAATTCGATCAATACATATTTGAATAATATTTTGATATACATTTCACTTACACGTCAATGGTGTTACATTTTGTTTAATAAAATAGTCAAAAAGACTATTAATTTAACTTACAAAAAAACAGAAGTATATGTGATTAATGTGAAAAAATATCTGTGGTTAATAAATATATTTTGTTTGATTTTTTCCTATATTTCCAATGTATGATAAATACAGAACAAAAGCTAAATATATTGAAAAACATATATACATGAGTGATACTCTATATTAAGAATTATTTGTCTGTGTTATTTCACAGACACAATTTATGCTAATAAACATTATCAATTTTATAAAAACAACAATACTGCATCAATGATATTTCAACTATTTGTTTCATTAAAAGCTGATTTTTCTAACTTAGTGAACATAATCCATCTTAGACGGTATATTTGTATATAATTTTTTTAAATTAGAAATTAAAAAAAGGTGTATTCTTAAGTAAATTCCTCGTATATTCGATAAATTTGAAAAATTATAATTCCCAAATGAATCAAATATTCAATTCCTTATGATAATCGGCATTGAGCAGAAAAAACTTTATATACAGCAAAAAACCTGAAGTTGACTGAGAAGGCCCCGTAATATTCTGACGCATACATTTATGGTGCTGGAGTGTTGAAGATAGCCTCATTAATCATTATTTCATGTATACGACTGTCCGATGTATGTCCATCGGTTACTGCACACACAAACTGACCACTTCACCGCTGACAGACGCATCGTGTACAATATATATTACTTGTCATACAGTCGTCACCTGGTCAACTCGGTCAGGACAAATTGCTTCCGGCAACGCGACAATTTCTCACTGAGCATTTTAAATAATCAATAACTCTAATGGGTATATCGTCGAGAACATTATATATTTATTCATATATCCCTAAATCAGTTAGGGTACATATTCGTACTGATTTTAATGACGTTTATTTGAAATGTTACCTATAAAGAATAAGGTTGAATGGAGATAAAAAAACTACATGATTTTTCCCTAGCGAGTAAAATAATAAACTGACCAATCAAATAGCAACAATAGCAACATTCTTTGTGATATAAAAAATAAATTAGCTCGATAATCTTTGTTTGACAGTGTATTACAATGTAGATACATATATCCTGCTATTTATGAAACAACTGTGCTCCTTGAAAACGTATTGATTGTGATAAGATCTGCTTCTTGATGATAATTTGTACCTTTGTACTGGCGAGATGAAAAGTGGCCTTATTTGGTATTTCTGTTTTCATTCACTTAATGTAATTTTTGCGTGGTAGTCATTAAGGTTTGTTTGTTTGGTGCTTTACGTCCTATCAACAATCCTTTAAGGACGAGCAAACGTTTGGTTGTTGAGGAAAACCGAAGTACCCGGAAAAAAATCGACCTGCGTACAGTATTTGGCGAACGCCCCGCGTAGGCCTTGAAACCGAGACCCATTGAAGGAGGGCTAGTGATCGTCGAAGGTCAGACACCTTTTAACCAGTCGGCCACCGCGGCCCCTGTCATCAAGAATGCCTTATACATATCTTATATGTACGATGCACGCTGTTTCTTCTATCATAAAGAAGCAGCGAGTGCCGCATAAGTAAGAACGCTTTAACGATAATTTTTCCAAATAACAACATACTATATTATATATATATATATATATTTTTTTTTTATTCACCCATTGTTACCTTAGGAGAAAACTTATATAGGCTATGCCTGTTGTTCAATCTTTTTTTCTAAATGAAATAAAATTTGTTGAAATGAAAAACGATAATTGTATTTCAATATATCTGTTAAAACCTGTGGACATTTTTATATTTCAATGATAAAATACAAATAACGTATAATATCTTAAAAATATGCAAAACTAAATATTATTTAATGTATACACGGATGAAATTTTAATATATTTTGCATAGTTGCAGTTTTTGAAAGAATATAGAATATTGTAAGTGTTTTATTTTTATTTTACACCTTTATTTAACTGTTTTACTATGTTATATCATGTCACCGTGTCGCTGTTAAGGTGACACGCTAGCACATTTGTTATACCATAAATGGAGAAATCCATTATAAAGATAAATGAGTACGCTTTTGACAGGATGGATTTGCTGATTTAATTTTAACATTTTACGGTAAAAACTATAATGAAATCAGAAACAAGACATCTTTTCCAAAATAGAAAACTAAAATAAAATAATTATAATAAACATATATATACATGTATATTCACACCTGGTCCTCGCAGTTTCCACCGGTTTCATGTTGATTCTTCCTTCACTGATTTTTGCTTGGCCAAATTTCTTAGATTTTGAGTTTCTATTTATGGATTTATTATGACTTCGGTATAAATCTGTTCATATTACGTTATTATGAAGCATGTGTTATATCGTATACCATTCATCGTCTCAGTGGATTAGATACAAGTATCATGTGTTTTACATCAAATATCAGTCTGTGTAGATATACCATGTTGTCGAAAATATTCCTGTACAAAACTCACATACGTGTGTTGGTATAAGTGATGCACCTAAAATAATTCTGTTTTTATACATAAATTGTAATTTCGAAAAATTATATATAACTTGTTAACGTAATTTCAGGTCAAAAACACACACATCAAAGTCCTTTGTAGTAAAAACTTTTCTAAAAATAAAATCTTACAATCTGAACATTTGTCCATTACTCTCTGTTTGGTACAATATTAATTCAAAAACAAAAACGTGAAAATACAATTCAATAACAAATAATAAAAAAAAAAAAATTTAAAGGATATTTTAATCATTCTAACAGTATATATTTCAAACAAGATTGTCTGCCAAAAATGTTATCAAGATGCATTTTCATAAAGATACAAGTACTTTTTACAATTAAATTATTTATCTAAGTCATAGAACGTGTTAACACTTTTCGCTGTTACTGAAAAGTCATTTAAACCTTTATATATATAACCGATACTTGGACTTTTAAGCTTTTGAAACCAAACCATGTTACCGAAACTGGACAATCCAAGGTTTGTGTAACTGAGACTTAAAACCGAATTCGAATTTTAAGCTATACGTTACATAAACCTGGATAGTAATGCTATGTGTATCTTGATTAATATAGGAGTCTCAGCGATATGTTTGAAAGCAATTCAGTAAGGGGTTAGTCTGCTAACATACGTTCAGTTATTCATAAGGACACTAAGATACTATATATAGCAACAATTCTTACAGGAATAATAAAATATTGATAGTAGTTAAACTTTTACTTGTATTTTATATTTCTAGGGGGAATAGCCAGATCTCACTGTGGTATCAAACTGGGATGGGGAAAGAAGTTCAAGAATTTTGTTGGATGCATTGATGAGGTATGTGTCTTAGCAAATGTAATCGAGCAAATATGTTAGATTGTCACCGTTTCATAACGATATTACTTTACTGAATTTTATTCCTTTCTTTGTGATCAATACTTGATGTATTTCTAATATAAATTTTGATCAGGAAATAAGCTTTTAAAGTATGTTAAGCTAAAATTGTGCATAGAATATAATTATTGACTTCTGTGTTTCTTTTGTACAAGGTTCCTTATATTAATAAATTGAGCATTCGACGCCTGTGTAACTAAGCAAAATATTTAAATGACCATGTTAAAACTGTTGTTCAACCTGTCAATATTTCATTATGCAATCTCATCAATTGCCATAAACTTTGTCACCTACAATATTGCTATATTTTGCATGTAATTATGTCCCCAAACAAAGTTAGGGGACATATTGTTTTTTCTCCGTTTCTTCCTCTTGTTCTTCTGCTTATTATTATTATTTCTTCCAATTTCTTCCGCCGACGAGGTTTCCGACATGTTTCTCGAAAACCGTAGGTCGGAATTCAAAGAAACTTTACATGAGTGTTCGTGTATGACAGGCGGTGCGCAAAATTATTTTCATTTTTCGATCGGTCATCCGACTGGTCAGCCGGACGGCGGCCTCTGATTGGTCTAAATTTAGACATTGTTCGATTTGATGAAAATTGGTTTATAGGGATATTAGAGGACTGTGAATTCAACCGCATATGTTTCGTTGCCATAGCAACCATATAGCAACCACATGAAGGCTTCTGATTGGTCGAAATTTAGATATTGTTCGGTTTTGATGAAAATTGGTATATGGGGGAATAAGGGGACTGCAAATGCAACCGCATAGGTTTCGTTGCCATAACAACCATATGGAGGCTTCTGATTGGTCGAAATTTAGATATTGTTCGATTTTGATGAACATTGGTGTATATAGGGGGGGACTGCAAATTCAATCACATACGTTTCATTGCCATATCAACCACACAGAGGCTTCTGATTGATCGCAATTTAGAAATTGCTCAATTTCACTCACATTAAGTATGTACATTGTAGGTGTACTATGGCAATGCGATCCTTTTCTGATGCATCTTTGCGAATATGGGGGCAGTTTGGGGGACATCTGTAATGGTCCCCCATCACGAATAGTACTTGCTACCTGTTGGTATGGCGCGATGACATTTACATAAATCAGATCTCTGTCCTTAATATACACAGATTTGTGACCCCTTGTTCGTTTTTGATAACAAAAATCATCCCTTGTTTATTCATCCAAATATATTATATTTGTTGTAGGTGTCTATTTACCGGTGTATCCCGAATACTAGAATGGCGTTGGATGGGTCAATAAGCAAGTCCAGCATTACAATATGAAAATAAGAAACATCATAAAATGTTATTTTATTAACAAAAATATGTCTTATGTAAAACACATGACGGCACTGCCCCAAACAAAATGTGTGTTAAGTTTTGTTTTTAACTCTTACGGAAATGTCTCAGTGAATATACAGTATTGTGACTTCTTGTTCGTTTATAAGGATGCTTACAGAGGTCATATGTTTCCTACATCAATGGTTGTCTTATATTATAACAAATCAACAATAACAAATGTCGGCACAGACATCCTATCTCTAAAATGTTCCTAACGGTTTATGAAGTGTTTAGTTTTAGTTTTAGTTTTAGAGTCCTGATAAGGAAGTGCAGAATAAAACGATTTTTTTGTCGGCTGACAATCTAAAAGTAACGTCATTTTAATGTTATACATGCTATTTTGACCAGTGGAGTGATACCCTCTGGCAAATACAGTTTTTGTTATAATCTCACAAAAGCAAAAAGTTTACAGCTTTTGTACAAAAGTTTAAATATTTGAGACTGTCAGATGTTTGCTGTACGTACACATTTGTTGTTGAATAATTTGTGAATTTTCTTGAAATAATATATATTCATTGTTGGCTAAGGAATGTTATATGGCCTTTTACGGAAGCTACGCTTAAAAAGTTGGTAAAATAAAATATGTTAGATATGGAAACTAAATACTCGGGTTTATAATTTCCATATCAACATTTTGTTCACAATTTATAAGGTACACTTCATTAGTGACATCCTTGTATTAATTATATCCTGACAAGGGATACGTACCGTAGACGCCGAGAGCTAGTCTAGATAGCACAGAAGGGTGCCTGAAAATAGCCTGATATAATTTGTGTATCGCAACATGTCCTCATCGCTTAATAAACTATTGGATAAATGTCTAATTGCCGTAATCATACTCCATGCACAAGAAACGTTAATTTGTTTTTTGCTTCATGTTTTGTTGACGCATACATTTGAAAGTGGATTTATTTTCACTTAGATCATCTTGCAAGGCTCATATTTACTGAGGTCTTTTCTGCCGATATTCATTATGACGTATATGTCTCGCCCTTGCTATTTAAATGATGCCTCTGGGGCAATTAATTTGATGGCTTATGATTCAATGCATTTAATTTTAGACGTATTTATTTACGAGGATGAGTTTTTAATGACATTAATTTCCCAGAGCGAAATTTGAACTTTCCGAAATTTTCAATCCGATAATATTTTTTAATGGAAAACGCGTTAATTTCCATTACAATTTTAACAGTATTCTCACATTAAATGACATTATTTTCCTGGGCAAGTTGTATTTTTATAGTTAAACGTAATAAGGACTATAACCTCTAACATTGCTTGAAATAATAATGGTAGTGAAAACGTGCGGATATTATAATTGCTTGAATAGCGTCGTGCAATATCTGTAGATTGGATCTAAGTGGACACGGATTCATACATATATCATACGCTCTTATTTGAACCAGAGAAGCTTTGTATTTTATCCCAATGAAAGTGCTTAAATTCAAATAAAGGGATTTTGTGCGTACATGAGTTCCATTAAAGACAAACGGTACTGTTTTGATGTTGTAATATGTTTTAATATTGTCTTTTGTTAATGAAATTGATTCAGCATTGTGAAGTATATTTCTACTTGTTATAAGATTGGTAAATATGCACAATGGATTGCTATATAAATAAACATGTTTTTTGCTTAAAACTTATATGCTGTTTTGGAAATAGTTTATTGTCGATAAATACGGATCAAAATGAAAACATATTCATCTGCATCTCTTACCGTTTATCAATCTTAAGGACCCCTGTCCCATTGCACTTTCCTATATACAAAAACATTCCCCCAACTTCCACTTGGTTATAACTGCAGTACAGTTGGGCCAAGACACTTCTGCTGACAAGTTAGTCCAAACGGTTAGTGCGAAAGTATAGCGACTTGATGCCCAGGGTTCAAATCTCAGTTTTGTCCTGCACATTATTTTTTACATTATGAACACTGTTGTTGATTATATTTTATTTTATCTTCATTATTTCTTATGAAAGTCCCGTTTGGTATGGTCTTCTGTTCAGAAATTATTTATCGAAGCTACTGTAATGTCGGGAAAACATATTTTCAATACAGTTTTTGGTAGTAGTGCAGTGATCATTTAATGACCTTTTAGTGATCATTTAATGACCTTTTAGTGATCATTTAATGACCTTTTAGTGATCATTTAATGACCTTTTAGTGATCCTTTGGGCGAAACAACTGAAAGGAGTCCAACTATTATTAAAGTTACGATGAATGCAATGCTGTCAGCAGCTTTTAAGGAACTTTCTAAGCGATTTGCGTTTGAATCCCAAATCGAATGATCTCATGAAGCATATCAAAATTAGACCTCGATGGCCTATCGTTTAGATACCATATTCATTACAACTCGATACCACATTCATTACAATTCGATACTGATATTGATAGCATCTGTTGATATAGCGTTCAACGAATATGATCAACCTTTCTACATGAAAAATCGTCGTGTTGGCAAAGGATGTGTGTATTGTACTCGATAAGCATACAGAAATAAACGGTTGGGCATACCTGAATATATTTGATCGCCCGATATCAAGTTTCCACGTAACGGTCGAGGCAACAGGTAATTTTGGTCTAATTAAGCAGTTAGTTTTAATATTATCTATAATGAATGGTAACTAATTATTTGAACTTAATTATCAATGTTTATTTAATAACCAATATGAGTTTTTACTATTACCAATTATATATCACGAATTGTGTATGGAGTACATCTTTTTTGGCAATAAACATATTTTCATTAGAAACTGTTGGTATAGATTTAATAGTGATTGAATAAATAGAAAGATCTAAAATTAATTTCTAGACTGGCTGTCGGTCTCTATGATTTTGATTTTTTTCTATCAATGCATTAACCCGAGGAATCATATGATCAAAACAAAATAGACGTGCTCAATTCCATGGACAAAATTGCATCTTGTTTTAATTATATTGACTGAAAGATAATCTATACATTTTCTATATAAATGTGTCTATATGCCGAATGTAGGAATTGGTTTGTTGTCCTATTTTGTAAAAGTAGTTGTTTACAAATGACGAATAAAGATGATGTTGTTCGTGAACGAATTGTGTCTTCTTCTTATTTTGGTTTTTGTCCTTGTTTTGACAGCTAAATATTTAAGAGTTATATCAATTTCAATATCAATATATCAAAAAAAATAAAAACAATAGAAGAAAAAGTTTTTTCTATTTTGTTGCTTGCAATTCGGACACCACCTCTACCCTAGAAAGCGAAAAGGAGACCATAATCTGTTTGCTTTCTTTAAAATATTACTAGAATGGTGTTGGTGATATTACCTTCCGGCACTGGGCTTCTTAGTAATCAACAACATGTAATTATTATCATTGTAGATATAATTAACAAGTACACAAATAAAATTCCAATGTAACTTTATCTCGAGGAACAAGTTACTAACTATTCTTACAAATACTAGCATTTTCACGTGCAAGATTCACTGAACGAATGTTATGAAACAGATTGCACACAGACCCCCCCCCCACACACACACACAAACCCAATGATTTTAGTATGAATTTCAATGCCGAATTCCTAGACTGCAATATGGGGACACAAAGTGTCTTTAGATACAACAATAAATCTTTCTTAACTTGCTAAGGAAAACGAGTAAATATTTTGTCGGAAATACTAACCTTAATGATCCCTGCTCCTCTGCAGTATGGTTTATTGGTGTACACAGTGAACCCCTCTTAATTTTGTATTTGATATAACTACCCTCTTAATTTTAATATTCAATATAACTAGCACATTTTGGCTAGGACACTTCAGTTGACCTATAAACTCCGTCGATTCAACCAATCTGAAGTTTGAGGTTCGTATTCCTGTCTAATCTTGCTTTTTAACACTCAGAACAGAGTTTTTGATATATATCGCTTATTTCATCTTTATTATTTATACAAAAGTCCTGCAAGGATTGTTTTTCATTTCAAATGTTATTTATCAAAGTGAGGGAAATGCTAATCAATTTCCAAAGCATAGCTGCAGTTCCTGTAGTGGTACGGGGATCCTTTATCTTAATCAGCAAACCGATATATTTTAAAGTAAATGGTGGTTTCTAAATTCAAGTCTTCCTGTTTTAATGCAAGGATCCTTAAATTCAAGTCCAATGCGTTTTCCAAACATCAGGAAACCTGTCATAAAGTTTTGACTAAATTGTTGTGTTTAATTTCAAGACAGAAAAACTGTGGCATCCCTTTCTTTTGAACATTCGAGAGCCATTGATTATATATTCCACTAACTGAGAAATCAACTTCAACCAAAAGAAATGCTTAAAACATTGGAATCATTCGTCATTAGAATTCAATACACTGCGCTTCGTATATCTAACCTTAATAAAAAAAAGCACAATAAAACATTATTCTTCCTTTTTGCTTTCTGCTTTTGCGGGGCCAAACAAAACCTTCGTGTCAGTTTGTTTGCACCCTTGAACATATCGCCGACGGACTACAACTTATGGCGTTAGCGCAGGAGAAGTTACTTTCCCTTTGTAAAATGGGCAAAGAGCAGCCAACAACATGGTATTTATATAACTAATAAAGTTACCATTCACGTAACAAAGAAACAAGGTGAACTAATAATACAACCTAACGTAACAACGAAGGAGGTGAACCAACAATACAACCTGACGTAACTAAGAAACGAGAAGGACTAACAGTACAACCTAACGTAACAACGAAGGAGGTGATCCAATACTACAACCTTACTTAGAAAGGAGTAAACTAATACGGAACTTCTGGATCCGTTTGCAACTAAACTGTTTCGTTTTAAATACAGTAAAATCCCGTAGCATCGTTTTGGATGTAACTGTAACACAGTTGGCCGAGTCATTTCCGTTGACCAGGTAGCCCCATTGTTAAGAGGGACAGTATATATATAACAACTGAGGTCTATGGTTCGAATCTCGTTCTAGCCTCGCTGAATATTTACTCACAAAACGCTGTTGCTGATCATAATAATTTATTTCATCTGTACTGTTTTTTCATATCAATTCTGCAAGGTATTGTGTTCTTTTCAGGAAGGATTTATTTAAGCTACACTCATGTATGAAACAAAAAGAAAGTGTTACCGGTACGGGGGACATTAAAGTATTAAAGGATGAGAGAACGTAACACTACAAATCGGTTACCAAATAGAAATACCCCATTTTAAGTTTGCTATAAAAACGTTCCTCACATTTCAATGTACAAAATGTATATAAAGGATCCCCGTACCTCTGTCAAAAACTGTAACTACAAACTGGTTTTTTTCCGGCACGACTATAGCTTTAATAAATTATTTCTGAAAAAGAAAACTATATTTGCACGACTTCTATAAGACACGATAAAAGGTTTAACAAGAACAAAATAATCAAAATAGTGTTTTGACATTTTAACGAAAAACATCGCCGGACTAGACCAAAATAGGAACACTGAACACTGCCAAACTGTTGGTATAACTGATTGAGCTACCTGTGACAGAGGTGTCTGGCCAAACTGTTGGTATAACTGATTGAGCTACCTGTGATAGAGGTGTCTGGCCAAACTGTTCTACAGTTATATCCAAACGGAAATTAATGGGAGGTTGCTGCATATAGGAAAACCACAGTGTAGTGATACAGGGATCCTGCAAAAACATCGTCTTTCGGATATCATAAATTTATGAATGACTTCTCATATTCCAAAGGTCGGGAAGAATTCTGAGCTTGAGGTAACCGATACCAAATTGTTAAACAACAGTATATTACTGTATTAGCATTGTCACTGCTGTGAAATATAATATATATGGCTTTTTAAAATTAAGTATTCGACAAAAATTCACATGCTGCCATGCATTTTACAGTTTATTTACAAAGTGTAATTGTTTGGAATTTGCTTATTTGAGAATACAAATAAAACAAAAACAAAAGAGTTGTAAGGGTCTACATAGCAACGAAATATTTGTCCAATTAAAGAACTGCAAAGCATACGAAAATCACGATAAGGTAATTACGCTAAGCCGGGAACACTACTTTTGGTAGGCTTGTTTTCTATATAAAAGGGAGAATACTCCAGGAAAAACCCAACTCTGAATTGAACTCTTCTTTGCGTTAACAACTGATTATATGGTGTCCTGTGCCTTAAACGAACTTTATTTTGTAACTCGCTGAAATCATGCAACTCACTAAAACTTGTAAACCAGATGTCATGGCGTCGACTCCTAGCGGAGGCATTAAACAGTGTAATCTGTTACAATGATAACAGTGTGTTTAATGTAATGATAAAAAATCTTTATGCATACTGTAAAAATGACGCTGTATTTTATTTATCTATAATCTGTGTTGATGTTTTCGTGGTAAGTTACTCAACGCAAAAAAAGAAAACGGCCAAAATGTCCATACCTCAAAATTGTCAACTTGCACAGTAATCAATATACATTGTGCATGTACAACATTTCCCAGAACTGATGTGTTTTCATACGAATGATACAAGTCAGTGACCTTTATATAACTATATCTGACTGGCTCGGTCGGAAAAGCAATAATGCATGCATTCAACTGACACACCGTTACATTTGTGCACCAGATGTATATCGTTTTCGAGAATAGTCCCATAACGTGCCTTAACCCAGTCTGGTTACACTTACAGTATCGGACATTATAACGCTTGATGATATAAATATTGCTGAACATGAAAATTAAAAAATTTCAAAAATATAAGCATACTCACTCTAACTATAAACGCATGTGGAAAGGGTGATAACTCCCGCGACTGAGAACGATGTCTTACAACGCAATAATTCGCTAAGGAAAAGGTAAATTGTCTTTTCTTTTATTAAAATGATTCCAATAAGCTTATAAATATAAAATGATGTTTTTTTTCAATATAAAATTATTTTGACAAAATGTATACAAGCTTACGCCATTACCATACTCATTGCATTATATATGTGTTTGTGTATTTTCGCAATATACATCAGTGCACTGTTTGAGAGCTGTCGCCTGTGGGGGTTAATTTATATGTTGAAGTCTAGTTAGCATACTGAGAGTGATGTTATACACTAAAATAAATACTAGTTTTTAGCGATGACACATTTGTGTCATATCATGTTGCGATAAAAAAACGTTCAGATATAAAAATTGATTTTTTTTTTAATAAAAGATAAAAATACTCCGACTCATCTGTTACCGAATGTCCATGATATAATGTTAACCAATAATGTCAGTTTATATAAAAAAATATACACAGAATTATGCCAATCAAACCATATATAAGCATAGAATGTTTTCAATTTGTTTTAATAAACTAAGACTAATTTGACACCAACCTTAGCCGACAAATTTGTTTTATCGATGTTCATGTCAAAATATTGAAAGGAAAGTAATGAAGCATACACACGACTGTGTGAAGCTAACAAAGCAAAGTCATTAAATGCATAAAAGCGTGTATAAGTGATATGCCATCAGCAAGGTCCTGTTTTATACACCCATCGATCACCTCCTGCACTGCATTTTATCTGCACAAAGCCAGTAACTGTTATTAATTGCTAGCTAGCTTGAACATTTTTTTTCGAAAATGTTATCCTGAGAAAATGTTGACAAGATTTGACAAATAATAAAAAACGAAGCAATGTGTTGATTTAAATGTGAGATTGATTGTCATAACTATTTTTATCTTAATCGGTTGACACTTAACTTGTATATATTGTTTTATAACATTGTTTTGTATTTTGAGGTATTAAAAGGGAATTTGTTTTTATATACGACGCAATTATTAGTTTAATCCAATCTCTTAATGTTAAATAACACTTATTTCATTATATTTACATTCTGTATGCTTAGACCCATTGACAAAAATTACATTCATAAATGCATAACACAGGTGTTCATAGAATCTCAGCACGTGGGAACTGATAGTAACCTGATCACACTGCGTAGTAATACACTACAAAAACTACTCACTCGGAACGACCGACCTAGATGCTTAATTCTTACATCTTAAAATATTATTGAACTGTGCTTTGTGAAATATCCACGTATTCACGTGTCCTGTGCTACAAATAAACATTGAATATGGAACTACATTTTGTTGTGTTATTGTTGTTGACGGTTGCTAAGATCTCTCACGATAGTGTCACATTTCCCCGCGAAAAAACACTGTTCTCGCCACTGCGTTGCACCCGTGTATAAGCAGGAACAAACCCTGTTTATTTGTTTTATTCGTTGTTATATCGATCCACTGAAAGGATTCGTCAATGTAAATATAAGGAATGATATTTATTTTTTCAACATTTATGAGGTCATAACAACAATGGGTTTTTGGACATACATTCTGTATGTTACATGAATCGCTAACGCGATTCATTCAATATGTTCATAAACCCATTGTTGTTATGACCTCATAAATGTTGAAAAAATAAAAATCATTCCTTAAATATAAACTAATACTGCATTCTCTATATTTTATTCCATTATTATGTTATATATTTATATAGAATGCATACTCTAACTTGTCTAAATAAATATTTCATTTTTTTTTGGCGTGTTGATGAATATCAAGACTAGTTACGTTCATTTTGATTGATTAATCAGTAGACACGCCAACTCTTCACACATTGATTAATCAGTAGACACGCCAACTCTTCACACATTGAATTATAGCCCGAGGTGCATATGGAAACGGCAATAACATATTGCTGCATAATTGGTTAATACCATGACTATATAAACGTCGCCTGTTACCATAACTATATATACGTCGCCTGTTACCATGACTATATAAACGTCGCCTTTTACCATGACTATATAAACGTCTCCTGTTACCATGACTATATAATCGTCGCCTGTTACCATGACTACATATACGTCGCCTGTTACCATAACTATAGGGGCGTCGCCTGTTACCATGACTACATATACGTCGCCTGTTACCATAACTATAGGGGCGTCGCCTGTTACCATGACTAGATATTCGTCGCCTGTTACCATGACTACATATACGTCGCCTGTTACCATAACTATTTTATTGTTACCAGATAACATGACTATTTTAACATTACCTGATACCATGACTATATAAACGTCGCATGTTACCATGACTATATATACGTTGCCTGTTACCATGACTATATATACGTCGCCTGTTACCATGACTATATATACGTCGCCTGTTACCATAACTATTTTATTGTTACCTGATAACATGACTATTTTAACATTACCTGATACCATGACTATATAAACGTCGCCTGTTACTATGACTATATATACGTCGCCTGATAACCTGACTATACTAACGTCGCCTGATACAAATGTGCCATGACTATAGTAATGTCGCCTGATACATATGTGCCATGACTATACTAACGTCGCCTGGTACAAATTTGCCATGACTTTACTAACGTCCCCTGATACAAATATGCCATGACTATAGTAATGTCGCCTGATACAAATGTGCCATGACTATAGTAATGTCGCCTGATACAAATGTGCCATGACTATACTAACGTCGCCTGAAACAAATGTGCCATGACTGTACTAACGTCCCCTGATACAAATATGCCATGACTATACTAACGTCGCCTGTTATTATGCCTATATATACGTCGCCTGATAACCTGACCATACTAACGTCGCCTGATACAAATGTTCCATGACTATACTAACGTCCCCTGAAACAAATATGCCATGACTATAGTATTGTCGCCTGATACAAATGTGCCATGACTTTAGTAATGACGCCTGATACAAATGTGCCATGACTATAGTAATGTCGCCTGGTACAAATGTGCCATGACTATACTAACGTCGCCTGTTATTATGACTATATATACGTCGCCTGATAACCTGACTATACTAACGTCGCCTGATACAAATGTGCCATGACTATACTAACGTCCCCTGATACAAATATGCCATGAATATACTAACATTGTCTGATATCATGACTATATCGAGTTGTCTGATATCATGACTTTATTAAAGTTGCATGATACCTTGCCTTTTCTAATGTTGTCTGATACTATGCCGATTATAACATTACCTGAAACCATGCCTATTCTAACGTTGTCTCATACTATGCCTATTATAACATTTACTGATACCATGCCTATTCTAACGTTGTCTGATACCATGCCTATTTTAACATTTTCTGATACCATGCCTATTCATACGTTACCTGATACCATGCCTATTCATACGTTACCTGATACCATGACTATTTTAACGTTACCTGATACCATGCCTATTATAACATTTGCTGATACCATGCCTATTCTAACGTTGTCTGATACCATGCCTATTTTAACATTTTCTGATAACATGCCTATTCATACGTTACCTGATACCATGACTATTTAAACGTTACCCGATACCATGCCTATTCTAACGTTGTCTGATACCATGCCTATTCTAACGTTACCTGATACCATGCCTATTTTAACGTTACCTGATACCATGCCTATTTTAACGTTGTCTGATTCCACGACTATTCTAACGTTACCTGATACCATGACTATTTTAACGTTACCTGATACCATGCCTATTTTAACGTTACCTGATACCATGCCTATTTTAACGTTACCCGATACCATGCCTATTCTAACGTTACCTGATACCATGACTATTTTAACGTTACCTGATACCATGCCTATTTTAACGTTACCTGATACCATGACTATTTTAACGTTGTCTGATACCATGACTATTTTAACGTTACCTGATACCATGTCTATTTTAACGTTACCTGATACCATGACTATACTTACGTCGCCTGATATCATATATATATTAACGTTGCCAGATATGATGACTATGTTAACCTTTCCTGATATCATGATTATATCAATTTTGTCTGTTTTATCCGTTGCATGTTTAACTTATCCGAGAAAAGGCCCCTTATGCATTATGTCGTACATGACACATAAATGCAGTTCGCTTTTAAAGCTTTGAGAGTATGAGTTATGTTTTGAAATTGATTTTTGTATTATGTTTCGCACAGTAACATCTTCACACCTCCTGATTTACTTAAGGTTCTGATACAACTTCCGTATCAGTTTTTACTTGTTAGTATTTATGCAAAGTAAAGTTTTTTCATGATAACTAGTTAATACGTGTATTTAGCATGAACAGTTTTTAGAAAGAATACTTGCGGTAATATTTATTCAACTGTATAGTAAGTCAGTGTTGTTTATTTAAGTGTCATATATCACAAGTAAACTGTTGCATTTTAAAGGTTTTAGTTACATGGCGTTAAAGCAAACAGTTACAAATCGATCAGGAGATAATGTGATATCTCTCCCCCTCCTCCATAAATCATGTGATATCTCTCTCCCTCCTCCATAAATCATGTGATATCTCTCTCCCTCCTCCATAAATCATGTGATATCTCTCTCCCTCCTCCATAAATCATGTGATATCTCTCCCCCCCCCCCATAAATCATGTGATATCTCTCCCCCTTCTCCATAAATCATGTGATATCCCCCCCCCCCCCCTCCTCCATAAATCACGGTTTCAGGAAAGAAATCTGCAATTTTGTCTTTTCTTGTACATTAATATATAAATCCTGCTAATCATATTAAAAGACAGTTGCCATCAGTATTGTTTAAGAAGAATATTTAAGAATATTTATTTTCTCAATGACGTTACATTTCGATTCTTCAACGTTGTCTGTTACAGTGCACTGTTAATTAGAATTTATCAAACGTTGGCTTAGGCTTCCATAAACACAAAAATACGAAGCAGAAGTATAGGGCAATTTAAGTTTAGTTCTATGATCATTTCATTTAAGATTTTCATTTTGGTTTGACGAATTCTGAGAGAGAAAAAAAATGCTTATATTTACATGTTTCCCTTCTTCAGCTTAGTAAACTCTGATTGCGTAAAGATTAGCTATACGTAGTGAATAAAGGCTCGACGGATTGATACTTGTTTCAAATATGGCGCCAATCACGCTTCAGCAAGATAACAGTCCAATGACTACCATTGCTTGGTTCATTCACCATCTAGATACAAAGAACATATTCGGGATCAATTATGTCTAGTTATACAACAAAGGAATGCTGACAAACTTCTTATTCCATGGATGCACATTGAAACTTCTTTGGCGGTAACGTCGTCAATGGTGGCTTCGTTCTGAAACATTCGACCGCGTCACTCCATGATCAGTGTGTCAATGCGCGTACATGACGACCGTTGTAAATGAAGAGACAAGTTCGAAGGGCTTCTCACATTGCTTAATTTAAAATCAATGAAAGGAAACAAATAGTGTTGTTCACTGCGTATTTTCTAAATTTACTCATAAATAGATGTAGATTCACTGGAGATATATTGTCCTAGCAACCACGGCTACCGTAGCTACCGTCGTGGTAACCCGCTTTGATTTTTTTTACCTTCATTTTGACGGCGTATACGGTAGTATGAAAGCAGTTGGCAACGAACATATTATTTATGGAGCGCTAACACGCACCATTGAATATGTTCGTTGCCAACTCCGCTCATACTACCGTATACGCCGTCAAAATGAAGGTCAATCCTTAAGTAACTCATACCTTTGTCTAAACATTTGGATTAAATGTTTTCATTGATATGAAAATAAGGAAGAAAAAACCCATAATCATAATAAGAAACCTGAATATAAATACACTGCAATACATGCTAGTGAACATCAAATTATCGATAGCATAATCTCTTAACATACCGTATATTTACCACTGATATTACCATACGGCTTCCGCTGTCACTATAACAAAAACTAATTTCGATAATGATATATATAATGTGTCACAAAATGACAACACTGTTACGTATAAACCGCCCATCTTGTACTGGTATTGTCGCCCCTGGCAATAACTACATACCGCTAGCTAAGTTTACACGTACGTCTGCTCTTCATTCACCTGTCCAGCAAGTTACAGGTCAGACCTTGTCGGATTAACAATGGCTTTAGCCGTCTGCTAACCAGGTAAGATTGGTTGTTTATTTTGTTTTTATGTTTTGTACATTCAATGATTTAACAGATAAGTTAACATTACTTCATAAGACGTTCATTTTTGATTGATAACTATTAATAGACATTTTTATCGATGGAATATGTTAATGTTCTTTGACGGTGAAATCGTTGTCGTATATCCTGCACGTGTCGACCTTTTCAAAATGTAAAAGTAAACTATTTCTTTATTTTATAGTGTATGAATCGTAATGATCACGTCATGTGGACCTAGTCTTCCCAAATGGATGGTTTGCCTACTCAAACAGCTGGGATGAGGTTTAGGTATAAGAGAGCCTTATCGGCGATATCGATCTGCTGTGGGATTGGTTTTCTATGGTGTATGTAAGTAGAAACTACAATTGAAAATGTATATAATAATAATAAATGAATCATAATGTGCTTGCAGATTGTCTATGTATATGTTCTATCGGCAAAATCTATTAGGTGTTTATTTCTTAGATCAAGATCAAGATTTCCACGAATAATGTTATAATTATTGTCAGGCTAGTATTCGAAAAAAATGCCAACGTTTATATGGCTGTATAAACTGACAGATATACTGAGCTGTAATACACAAAGAAGGTTGCCTGAGGCTACAAGGTATTTATCTAAAGCATTGTTAGCTTTTAAAAAGGTCAATTCAAAATGTACGAACATAAGTTGTTACACGTACCTACCTTGTCAGAAATTGTTCATGTTAAGTATACGAAAATTACCACTCTTTATTACCTTTGAAAAAATGTAAATGTTGTTTTCGGGTATATAAAAGTATCTTTAAGAGAATTTATTAAAACCAAAACAAACAACACCAGTGTTTGCACATTTTTGTGATTAATATAACAATACTTAACTTAGATCACATTAAACAAAAGATGATTGGTTATTCTGGCATGTTATCAGGGCCTTTGCTAATGAATAATGCATGTAGTTTATGTAGTTTGGACAATTGTGTAACTGTCCGTTATTGTAAACATGGGTTGTAGGAAACATTTCCTGCTCCAGAACATCACCATTTTATGTGGATTTAATATTAGATCAATCATAATGTCATTACGTTGAGTAGTTGTGAAATTCATATACGTGTCACTTGACGTTTCATTGTGGTTGACTTTATTAATAAAAACAATCATGTCTGATAGAAGGGACGAAGTTAAGATACATCGTTTCATTTAAAACTCGCCGTGTATGTTGTCTTGGTATTGTGATTGTATTCCGTTATGATTTATAAATATTTGTTGCTGAAGATTCTTTAAATGTTGTTGCTAAACATTGTAAATTTGCTGCGTAAGAAGATATTTTGTTGGCATATTTTCTCTCTCGCTGTGTTTTTAACATATGACATATATGTTCAGACCATTTTAGACATTACGTTCAACAATGTTTTTACTTTTAACATCATTGAAAAGTCATATTAAATGGATGACATGTCAAAATAATGCAGTAATGTTTTTCTTTGTTTGACTTTCTGCATTTCTAAAACAGTTTTTCCTTCTAAGTGTGTCTACTGATAGAAGTTGGTGAACCCCGCTGGTGGGTCAGCATTCTCTGAGGTTGGCCGTAGCCTTATAGCTTTGACATATAGTTTACAAAAACGTTTTTGATTATAAATTATCTATTAAATCCAAAATCATAAATGTATAACGTTGTTAGGGTTGAATATGCACCTTTCCCTTAACCATAACATTCTACCCATGTTTCGTAACTTTACAGTTATAGTTTCTTCGTTCTTTTGATATAAAGTACGTCTGATAATTGCTAAAATTACGAAATGACCATAATTTGCCATAAAAAACAGTTAGTTTTGTTTGGCTTTCTGCACCAACTACATTCGTAAATAGGCGCCTCCTTCTTTTCACATCATGCATGCATTTCAAGTGAAAATAATTCGAAATACTGTACTAAACATATATTCGATAAAGGTTCATTTACACTTTTATGGCAATGTCATAAGTCACTTTGATATATACTTCTGTAAAACTATTTTTTATATTTTATAAAGCGCTTTTATGATAATCCATATATTCTTATTTCAACAATATTTTCAAGCAAAATTTACATCTCATCTGATCAGAAAAAATCGTGCCCTACAATACCCTGATACTTTAACGTCATTACCATGACAGTGCAACGTCATCTTTTATCTTAAAAAACGTATCCATAATAATTTTCCTAAACTTTGAACGCAATAGTAATTATTGAAAAATTACTGTTATCTTATTATGAAATCAGACTTTTCCAAAACCGATGAATAATTTATTGCTTTTCGTTATTCTCCATGCCCGATAAACAAAAAGGTGCATGTACGCTTCATTGAATTTCTCGTTACGATGCTATTTTTGTCAATTAAAAGCTGCTCAAAACTTGCATAGACGACATGGCTTCTTCTGTTGTCATCCATTTTCAACGCATGTCTTACAATTTCTTTTAAAATCTATTCCAGGTACCAGTTTGCGACAATACAAGATTTATCCAAATACGAAAGAGCTGTAGGAGACATCCGTATGTTTGATGTACCTGGACCGCATTTCTTCCAAAGCATCAACAGCATATCTGATGTGTTACGTGTTCCCCATTCTGCCAGAGATTCAAATCCTCATCTCCTTCGAACTGCTCTACAGAGATACAACGCTTACACACAACTTTCTGTATCTGACCCTGACCATTTCTTCTCTGTAAATAACTCTAAAATTGAAATCCAATTGGGTCCTTTCCAAGTTGGCGACACGCTGAAGGTTCGGATAATTTTATACGATAATATTGGGGCACCGATAGCCACAGGAGGAGATCACATAAGAATATGGTTAAGGCAGAAATCGACTAAGTCTAATGTTAACGGGTATACGATAGACCATGGTGATGGAACGTATACAGGAGTATTGACCTTGCCTTGGGCAGGGTCACCAGAGGTTATAGTATCTATGGGCAATACAAGAGAGCACATTGCATTCTTTTTAAATACCACCGAAACACATGGACTACTCTATGAAATGAGTTCGCAATTCATCAGCTCAGATGGAAAGCACAAGGAAGCCACAAAGTGCAGTCCATTGTTTGAGGGACTTTCAGGCTGTCACGAAAGCTCCGGATGCAATTTGACTGAAATAAATTATGGAATACCGTGGTTCTGTTGTCAGCCAAAATCGCGGCATTTGGATTGTAATGATATGAAAAAAATCAAGTGCTCTGATGAAACGAACTTTTTGAATACGGATATGATAACAGTATCTGAGTAAGTATATACTTCAGTATAATTACACCTTTCTATCCATAATTGAGGACAGAAATGTTATGATTCAAAACATAAATGTTCTAATATCCTTTACGAAATGTAAAGTCATTGTCTTATCGTATGCTTAAGACCCAGAGCCGTATTCATGAAACTTTTTCAATGCTCAAGTAAGGATTTTGTGCTCAAACTGATTTTCTTGTAACTCACTTCAATCATTTTTACACTGTCTTTAAGTAAAGTTTTGAACATCGAAAACGGTGTCTGGCTCTCCATAATGATCCATAAGCATTTATAAAAATGTGAATTTATCACAAGAACAGGAAATTGGGCGTTTGCCGAGAATCTGAGTTTAAGCATGAAGCGGTTCCGTGAATACGGGCTTTGTGCATTTAACAAATTAAAAAGTTGATGAACACAAAATGCACAATCTGAAAAAAGAAATCAATTTAAGCCAAGGTTTACATAAGTATATTACAGCATTTTGGATTTGTTTTAACATTTCGCTTTGCTGATTATAAGATATTCTCACTTAAAAGAACGGTATAAAAATTGATTTGATATATGATTCCCTAATAAGCTGAATTTACGGGGGTTCCTTTGTAACATCGTCAATAATTTATTGATACTGATGTCATCCTATTGTATACCATTCCCCTGTGCGTAAGAAATCATTTAAGGTGACATCACCTTTGACCGTATGGGTTTTCTATGTTATTACCGAGGTGGTAAATGGTCATTTGGTACAGTAAAATGTTTTCCTATTTTGGCGTTTTGCATCGACCAACTTCATTTTAGGATAAGTTCGTATTAATAGTCCCCCCCCCCCCCCCCCAAAAAAAAACCACCTCAGAAAAAAGAAAAAGAAAAATTGCGATTCGAGATGTTTTCGTTCTTTCTCTTTCCCTGTTATCGTTATTGATATAGATTACCTACAGATTTCATTATTGTTTCATGTTTTTGTGTTTCTACCTAACCTTTATTATATCTTTAACTTTATTTCCATTATTGCACCCTACAGTTAGCATGGCGTGACATTTTCATTCTAAATCATATTGCCCGTTTTCCTGTTATATACAAATCATTATTCACGTGTATCCGTTTAGGAGCGTTGCCAAGTACATACGTTAAACACAACATATATAGATTTCACGTTTCCAGTCACATGAACTACGCTGATCATAACAGATGCTTTGGGTTACAAAGTCGTACGATCTATGTTCATTTACACATTCAAACAGTAACCATACACTTTCAAAATCCTTTTTATACTTCAGTTTAAAAAGAGTTGTAAATAATATCCCCAGAAATTCGTCAGCACATTTAGTTTTCGAAATAAGTTAAGAGAATCCATAAAAATAGCGTGTGCACCTAATGGATTGGAGTCAAGAGGAAAAGGCGTTGAGGCGATATGTCAATGATGAAAAAACAAAATGACATCCTTAAACGACTCCAGGTATTCTATTTTAATAGGTTCGGTGTTAATCATCAATTATTTGGGGTAAAATGCAGCAAACTAAGCATAAATATATTTCAGACGTTTGTATTTTCTATTCAATGCTAGATATTTTCTTTTTTTCCTTTTTGCATAAATGACATATTTTTCAAACGACTTTTTCTCGGTTTTTTATGCACAAATCATTTGTCTATCATAAAGTTGGCGAATGTTTAGCTAACAACACTTTTATATTCGCAATGTATTGAAGCCTTATAGCATAGTAAAACAATACGTACGTGAATAACCTTGCGTTTGTTATATACTTCCCTAACATGATAAAACATGTACATATACTTTTTTCATGTTAAGAGCTTATAACACCGAGCCTTTTCATCATCGTACAAAAGAACTATTTTTATTACATATTTATTTGGTCAGTTTTTGTTTGTTTGTTGTATATTTAATCTGTTTTATTTTATTCTAAACAGGAATGGTAACCTAAGTATGGTAGCTAGTGGTGTGAGTGGGCCGGCCAGTCCCTACCGGCACAGACACATCCATATATTAGAATAATTATCATTGAAATGATACACATGTTTACTCAAAAACATTTTTTATTGTAAAGTGTAGTTTACACATGTATTTTAAAGATGTGGTTTACCAGTGAAGCTATACGATGTTCTTAAGTTCGAATATTGTTCCATGGTATTAGATTTTTTTTTTTATAAATAACAAGTAACGAAATGTATCTTGACATAGTACTCTTCAGATAATTTACAACTGTTCATCTTTCACATACATACTGAGTTTTGTCACACGATATTTGATGACTGTAACATTGATTACTAAACTAAGTTTATCTGAAAAATGGGCGATTTTTCTCACATATGTATTTCATGTGTGTATCACTGGGGTATATTACCGTGTAGACCTTACGACCTTCTGGTTATCGAATCAATCTCATTTAATAATCTAGCTATCGTCCAACATGTTTTTGGAAGTAATGCTGTGTTACGTACACCTGTTAATCTTATAAGCTTATGTATTACTGTCGTGTTTGTCTTAGAATGAATTGAGGAATTGGCGTTCCCAGTCACTGTGTTTATAATAAAAAACCGAACATCAGCTTATTTGTATTACTGCACTACATTAACGTTCTGAAACGATGACAAGTTGTTTTGTAACTGCTTTACATTTTGTCAGCAAAGCATACACACAGTGGCATGCAACCTTTGTTGTAAAACGAACTCCTAAGCACTGCTACAATGCAATATGGAATACATTTTTACTATACTGAATGCGTTTAACACTCCGTAACTGTCAATTTGTCAATTGTGAAACCATGTGATATATCGCTCACTAACATATGTAATTGGTTCCCATCAATATATTCCTGTCTTGTAATCCTATTCGTGATATTGTGTTCTTTAGTACCACTCTTATCAGTTATATAGTGACATTTGATTAAAATTCAATAAATGTTTTTTTGTATTGCAGTGTACGACATGTCAAATTCCCTCCAATAAAGATTAAAGTCAGCGAGGGTAAGTGATATCTACATGGATGATAACCGGTTTCCTCACACTTCAAAAAGGCATTCTCGTTATTGCTAGGAACATTTTTAAAATACATAGTGAAATACGGATTATATGCGTTAGTCTTCTGTAAACGTCATCACCGCGTCATCACTTAATGCCGCGGAACCAAAGTCACGTCATCAATTTTGTTACATATTTCATGCACCATTGATAATGGTGCGGTGCATAGAGTTCACAATCATCATTTATTATCTATAACAGGAAAATGTGGCAGAAAAAGGATCAATGATGCAATCAGATAAATTTAACTCTCGGGATAAGAATTTGAAGTTCAACACTCGGCAAAGTGTCTTGCTAAATTAAAATGTATTTTACCTTTATGTTTAAATTCGCACTGTCTACTACATACAGGGGTAATATATTTTAACAATATGTTGGATCTCATACCACAAACCAGTTTTCTCTATATGTATTACAGTGTGGACGTTTTGCAGATTATGATGATAAATACATTTTTTTAGTCAGCGAAAACCTAATCATAGTGGTTCTCTGCCAGATACGCCTCAACACTCCTCGATACTCCAAGGGTTTCTCTTACTTTCGCTCTCTGCACCCCCGGAATATGTCAGACACGCAGATAGCTATTTGATTGGTCTCAAGTAAAAAAGAACCTGACCAATCGCTAGGCTGATCCCTATCCTTTAAAGATTACAGAGAAGCGACAGTCGACTTCAAAGCCAGTCAATGTTACCGTAATACGACTGACAGATTCCTTAAATTTTTATGACATATTCCAGGGGTGCAAAGAGCGCAAGCGAGCGAACAACTGGAACCCCTGGGTTATCGAGAACGCGCCTCAACCTACGCCGAGGAATTTTTATTGTGGTTCACCTTGCCTATTTCTCGACTGGTCGATTTTAGTGTCTATCATGATTTAACACCCGCCACTGTGTCCTAGATCGGTAGTGACCTACATACATCCCTAGTAATGACAGGAGACATCATGTAAGTGACGTATATGGCGGAAGAAAAGTCTATTCTTCAGAACCATCGGGTAATGGCACTGTTAGATTTCCTGATATATTATTTATTGTTATCTTTTCCGCTTCTTATGCTGTTTCTTCATATCGATTTGTGTTGTTTTTGTGCATTCTATTTTTTATAACTTTCTGAAACTCTAAATCGCACTAATTTTGACAAACTCAAATTCTATCGTGCTATCAAATTGTAATAGATTATCAAAATAGCTAAAGCGTTAAAACGCCAAAAATAAAATTACCGTTTAATCTGTACGTTTACAGTAATTAAATCCAGCTAACAATAGTGTTTGCTGCGTTTATGTCTTTCTACGTTTTCTCGGGAGTTTCTCGGAGAATACTAACTAGATGCTTATGGAACTTCACACGGGCACTGGTCGGCATGCGTAACGCGTTTCAAGTTCTGATCGGTCACCAAACATGGTTGTGCCGTAGACTTTGGTTGATTGACACATTTATGGGTTTAAGCCAAGGTGATGTCCCGACCTTTGTCCTGATTTTGCTCAGACTTATTGTGTACGCCAAAGTGATGCTAATTGTCCTTTTTTGTATTGATTTTGCTCAAACGTCGTGTGCAAATTAAGGTAATGTCATAGTTCCTTTTCTATGTCGTGATGATTTTACTGTCGTTAAAATTAAAATTTGTTCGAGGCAAACAAATACACCTTGAGCAAAAATTAGTATTATAAACATTTATGCTAAATTAAAGCAAAATATTTAATTGAAACAAACTTTTTTTTTTAGCGAGACGAGTTCAAAAATGAATTGAAATCGTTCTTGATATTGTTCAATTTTAAATTGATGTTATCTGTCCTTCCGTTAGCGGCGCGATTTGATTTTAGGGGAATGTTTTACAAATATGCGCCATTGATATCGGGTAAATGTATTTCTAGAAATATCAAAATAAATTTTCTCTCTGTTTCTATAAGACAATAGAAACATATTTTGTTCTGCCATAGCATTTGAAAGCTTATACATACACATTTTGATTTACAGGTAAGGTGAATAGCCTGCAATCGCCACCTGGCACGTGCTATGATCGACCCCGAGCTGACACGTGGGAAGATTCCATTCCTGCGGGTTACTATTTCCACAACCAATGGGTTAACCTCCATTGTTCACCAAAGTTCCGGTCCGGAGATTACATATCATGTTTCAGAAATAAACGATTCGTTGTGCTTGGAGATTCAAACAGTCGAGGAACATTTGTCCAATTGGTCACCATGTCAGGATCTACCTATAACACCTCTGAATACACAAAAGGAGACCGTTGGCATAAGCTTCTTGAGGCGCATAACAAAGACTTGAACTTAGAACTTATGTGGGCTCCTCACAATGCCCCCTTATTTGTGAAAGATTATCAGGGACTTGACACCATGCGGTCAGTAGGCAGCTGGTTAGACGAAATAACGGCTGACCGGCCAATAGTTGTGGTCATTCACTTTTACTACCATTTAACGAAAGCCACAATCGCTGTGTATAAAGCTATGGTCAGAGACGCACGCAAGGCCTTGCTGAGGCTTTGGAAGAGAGCCCCGGACACAGCTGTCTTTATCCAAGGTCCTCACTCAATCACATACACGTCTGTGCTGGAACCTCTCGACTACCTTCGTCGATGTCACGGCCAAATTTGGTATGAAGAATTCAAAGGACTACATGATAGAATCGTCTATCTTGACTGGTGGGATATGACGGTTTCTTCCGAAAACGTCGACGTTCATCCTTCGGAGGACGTCCAGATGGACTTAACAAGAGTTCTTGTATCGTATTTATGTCCAAGTCATTGAAACGCTTGTTGCTAGTTATCAGTATTTCTTTTTATGTTATCATAGTCGCTGACACGTTTATTTTTGTGATCATAATTATTATTCGCTTATTTTGGGTTGTCATAATCTCCTATTCGTTGATTTTTATTTATCGGGGTCACGGATACGTTTGTTTCTAATGAGCTAATCGCTGATACATTTTTAAGGTTATCCTTATCGCCGACACGTGCGCTTCTCCTAATCTTAATACATTTACCATGGCCTTGTTGTTTTTATAGTTAAACATATTTGGCTTACACATAATTTCTAAAACTGCCAAGCACGATAGGAAAATATTGTTTTAATATCCAATCAAATTGCTTCCATGCAGATTTATAAATATTAAAGCGACAAAGTACAAATTTGGCTTCATGATCAAATTTATGTTTACACCTTTAACAAAATCTCCCAACCCAATGCTGTATGTGATGTCCAATTAATTATAAATACTATTAACTCTGTGGTTGTTAAAGTTGTGAACTAAGCCAATAATGTGTCGGTTTGAGTATTTCAATGTATTTTTTTATTCATAATCGTATGTAGTATCATCCAAAATTGACGTCTTGCTGAGAGTACAAGATCTTTTTATAGTATTCGTATCGTATTTATGTAGATGTGAGTGCAATATGACGAATATTATGAATAAATATATCTTCTTTTTTTATATATCACACTGTTTCTTGTTTATCAAAAATCATCTTGACATATGCAGTTGTATCCTAAACCGAATATGCACTCATAATGTATGAACGTTCCAATCGGTCCTTTGTGACCATTGAAAAACGTGGTACATATAGGACCAGTTACTGGCACCCTACAGCGAAACGAAACGTGGACAAATGGCTCATCAAGTCATTTTAAAAAAATACCAAAGTTAGTTAGAATTTGGTCAAGTCTGGCAAGGATCATTGTGAAATATCAAATATTATATCCTAACCATTCATTGTTAACTCATAATATCTTCAATGAGCGTTATTGGTTATTGTTAGTAATGGTTTGGTTTGTTTGTGTTTGACGTCCTATCAACAGCTATGGTCATTTAAGGACGCGCCACTATTTATACACTTCGCAGTTCATGTTGAATTTGTTTAAAGACCAACTCAATTCTTCACCACATGTTATCGACCAAAGCAAGATTCAATCCGTATATTTCAATCAACATGTTTTTTTCGATAATTAGAACTTGTGAAGGTCCATTCTGATAATTTGTCCCAGATTTTGGAGCTTGTGCATGCCTGCGTATTGATGTAATGAAAAACAATATAGTCCGTCATTGAAGGACCACCACACAACATGATGGTATATACTGATAGTTCAATACAGACAAATTATGAAGAAAAACACATAATAACCTATTTCGAAGGTTATATTTAATTTTTGTTGATGAAAACATCACTTTATATATAAGATTTTCTAAAGCGTATTCATTCGCACAGACAATGTTAGTCTGGTCAGTTTCATTGGCAAATGTAACAGGTAACATTTGCTAGCTGCATTGAGTCCAATTATAGTAGAAATTGAAATCCGATACGATCCAAGTTTTTTTTAATTTTCACTGTTTTTTTGCTGTGAATTTATTTACCTTCATTTATTTATTAAGTTATTGTTTTATATTTCATTTAGGCGTTGACTGGTTCGTTTATATATAAAGTAATGAACGATGTCCTCCAAATTGACATACCCTAGTCCCGTGTATTCAATACACAAAATATTTCTGTGCGAGTAATTTCCCCTGGAACTCGTTCCAAACGACAACAATTCCATCACAGCCTCACTTTCGACTAAATCATGATATGGACACCCTAAAGTCTAACTCATCATTAGCCATTTTAAAGACCACAATTAAACATCGAAGTTTATATATCTAATTTAGATACACTGAACCCAAATTTTAGTTATTAAAATTGTACATGTACATAGCGACGTTAACTTGGTCTAGATATGTAGTAAGACATTAAGGCCGATGCTTTAATAAACTCGTTCATTGGCGTTATAACATGTTACTCTCTTTTACAACCAAATCTGATACTACAAAATAATATATTTTTTAAACTTAATAAATGCACCGAGGTAATGCGAATCTTAATTTGTCTTTAACTGGCTTTGAAGAAGCCTACCGGTCTCAAATTCAGATGGCAGTTGTCATGCTGAACTACTGAAATTAAAGTAAAATTCACAAGTAGTATTACTTGTGAATTTTACTTTAATTTTATTGTAGATTGTTAATAAGAAAACAAAGATAAAGTTACCTTGAATGATAAATTAACTTTAGATGATTTATCATTTTATAACATTCATAAAGAGGAGAGGCATGTTATGATGTTTATTGCATGTTTAGCTGTGTGTAACACCACTAAATGCAACGAAAAGACAGCTAATATAACGGTCGTTCATTAACCGCTATCACACGGCCCTTTGCATTTATAAAAGAAATGTTAATATGTATTTTTTTTTTTAAATTAAATTTATTACTTTTGTTTCCCACGGTGTTGGCGCGCGCGGGTTTTAATATTGAAGGGAATTCGAACTCGAGTACCCAGGAAAACACACGTTTTTGGGGCAGGCGACAAAGAATCTTTCTAATCTACATGTAATTGTGGAATTGAACCCAGGGACCTTGGTGATAGGCTAATGATTTCCCATATCTATATACCGTTAACATTTGTTACCGGGCCATTGTACTATATTTTTTGTGGTTTCTAAAAGCTACAGAAATCATGATTGTAAGCCATTATACTATTCCACGACTATTAAAAGAGAACTGAGATTCCGCATGGCTCTTAGAATTTAATCGGGTCGCAAAAAAGATTAATATGTCACAAGTGTTGGGGAACTATTCATATTAAAATATCAGCCTTAACACATTGTTATTAACTAAGTTAACGTCGTTTACCTACATATTATAATGACTTATAATGAATAAAGAACGAGTACCATATATCTGCATAACTTATTAGTCGTTAAGTAAGACTAATGGTGGGAGGGGTGGGGTTGGGGTTGGTTACTGAGAATCGGGATTGTAATCTGTATACTAATTTAAACAACCTACTTATACATGTAGTATAATATGTTCATTATCATGTAATGTCAGCATGAGAATTCTCAATAGGAAGTTGGCCACGACTTGAGAACTTGAGAATGGATTTCCAAACTTGCTAATGAGTGGAAAGATTTGGAATACGAAGACCCTTCGAGTACGTTCATGAAAGATGCAAGGTTTATGAAAGGATTTTGATGATTATACGAGATATGTGTCATTAATCGAATGTTCAACTGTAATGGTGCACAGCATGTTGCCATCCAAAGCAAACGCCCAAAAGTGATAGACCCCGCTGAACATTGACAATCCCTTTTCTGTTTGGCTCAGAGTAGCCAATCTTCAATATCACATGGTCTTACAACTGCTATTATTTTGATGGTTATATAATATGCATGCCACTGCTTAAACACATGCACGCCAGGGGATATTGAAGATTGGCTACTCTGAGCAAAACAGACAAGAGTCATTTGTTAGTTGTTATGCTGTACAGTCAGTGGCAGGGGACCATAGTCAACGTCCAAAGTAATTAAGAATCCTGTAGAACATTGACAATCCAGGTTCATGTTGTTTTGATTAGCGAATCTGCAGTATCACAAGGCCTCACAACTGCTTAACATCAATGAATAGCTGGCATAGAGTAATGATGCTTGTCATTAATTCTTAAATTCGCTGACTGATCACAGGCAAGGGATAATTTGGAATTAGTCATAGCAGCCATGTCGCTCTCCCAAACCTCTGACGCTTACAAGCTGCTGTCGGAACAATGAGAAGGATTGGCAGATACATAGGGTCTACCATGCACACTGTTTTTGTTAACACGCGTAGACGATGTCCGCATCAAACGGAATCAGCATCAAGCATCAGATAACAGATATTTAGGTCAACTCCCACCGATACTGAGTCCCTCAGAAGTCTGTGCAGATGTGTGTATTTGTGTCTTCTGGGGAGTACATCCAAGATGTATTTGTTCAGTTTATATCAGTTCATACTGCCATAATGACTATCATATGCATGCACATGTAGCTAGTTTTCTGCGTTCATTTTAAGGAATGAACATTTTTGTCTGCGGAATATAATTGGTGAAATACAGGAGATGTGACGAATTCACCTATGCAATAAACAATTTTGTTAGATTTATCCCCCCCCTCCTTTATGATCGCTTAATTAGCATAAAAGTCAGTTTGGCGTAGTTTACAAGGTCAATGCAGTAGTTTGACGTCATATTGACGAGGTTTACGAGAGCATGGAAATATTTTTACATAATATAACTTTCAAAATGAGAATTTGATGACGCATCTGTAATAAGAAAACGTCAATCATTTCCATCCTTTATTACGGTTTTATGATTCAATAACATGGTATTATTAAAAAGGCAGGCGTACTGAATATTTACAAAAAAGATTGTGATTTCGATCCGTGTAAAACTAATCATTGTGACAATATCATTGTATATCTATCTTTATGAAGCTTTCCGCTTATACATTGCTATCGCTGTAGAACACACCCGTAAGTGACGTTTACTGTCACAATGAAATAGGGCGTTAAACGCTATGAAATTAAAACAATTCCTAAAGGCCTTTCCTTATATTAGATATACCCGTTCCACTGCCAAAATATGAAATATTTGCATTTGAAACTTATTTTTTCGGCATGAAAATAGCTTTGGTAAATCATTTATGAATAGAAAAGAATACCTTGCTGGACAGTCATGAAAACATCACGGAGATATAAGAAATATAACCAACAAACGTGTTCTGAGTGTTAAACTTTCTGCAGGACCAGACAGGATTCGAACCCTGGACTATAGATTGTTTTACCAACAGAAGTGTACGAACCCAAATGTGCAAAAACGGAGTTAAGGGGAGGTTACTTTATATAGGGAAAATGGCAGTGCAGTTGGACAGGAATCTTTCATATGCAACAATGTGTTGATATCACTAGCCTTGAATGTACTTTAAATGTATATCGTTGTACACATTTCTATTTGTGTATGTATATATCATTGCTGGTCTATCCTGGGACTTATACCTAAGATATATCGCTAACCTTAATAGCTTCATATGTGAATGGATAACATTGTATATACATTTTGTATTACCATCCTTGTATGCTTGACTATTAGTACATCTGTATCATTGTATATACAGTATTGCCATTCTTGTTGGTCGCTTTGTATTGCTATCATTGTACATTCAAAGTCATAATTTATATAGGCTGATTGTATATATTACTATTCATGTATGTTTTTTATTGTATACATTTCTTTTCTCATTTATCGTTGTTTAGTCTGTGTACCAGGTTATTCTCGCCACAAATTAATATTTCGCCTTTCTGACCCTTTTTGCCCTCCGTAATGAAGGCGAAATTAAAACTGTGTGAATATAGATTTTACCAGCGTAAGGCGAAGGATTCCCGTCATACAATATTGCACATTGACACACGGGCTGCATTATTAGTAATCTCTGGGGTAGGAGGGGTCTACGGGATCATAGACCCCGTCTGGTTTTTATAGACCATGAGCCGGTTTTTTGTGCAAAGTTATACATGTAAGTCACTTTGTGAGTTTGAGTTGTAATGTGACAATACTTTTTGCAAAAATACTTATAAATCAATAAATGTGTCAACAAAACAGTTATAAAAATAATGTAGCCTTAGAATAGATACATGTAGCTATGTACCATTTTTTGTCTACAGATGGTTAGTTTTTAAGTTCAAATAGCACCAGTAAACGTAATTCAAACTCAAATGTCAGTGTTTTGATTACGTTTTTAAAAAATGACGCGTGCGACGACTATGCATTCTTTTTTGGACTATAGGGAAAATATACACTATAGAAATACTTTTTGTCATATAAATTCCTAAAGTCATCTTAAAATGTTAATATGCTGACAAATAATATTCATTTGAAGGAAAAGATACTGCAAAATTAAAGCCTTGATCCGATTGGGGTCCTTATATTCGTAAAAACTGGAAACGCCGATTATTGACTTCAGAGCGTTCTATAAATATCTCAAGTGAGCTCCGGGTGCTAATTTCGTTTGTAAGAACACCCATCGATATTCTTCCTTTGATACAAAAATAAATGAATATAAGTCCTCCTCAGATTTTTCAATGAATGTATGAGAGGATGTATTATGAGAAGTTCTTTTTTATACAATCAATAAAATTTTCTATATGACGTTTCGATGACTAGTAAAGTATGTATACTGTCACCTTCATCAGACAAATGACCAATGAAGCCTATGCACACACAGGTGTAAAATGTGTACGAGTTGTCTATACAATCGATGCCGATTTCTGCTACGCTGGAAACGTATGTCCAATAGTTGTTATATATGTACCGAAATGACTCAATTCAGCTACGCTTTGTTAACACTTGGTCATAGATGTGCGAGAGTCTTTGAGCCCCCTCGTCTCGATTTAGAACTGGCCCACTGCCACGTATCCAGATGGCTTCCTTTACTGTATCTGCCGCTTGAACAGATTGGTCTTTCTGTCTAAAACTTTGGAGTTTTCCCAGTCAATCCCATAGTTTTTCTGTGTGGCACGGTCTGTGATTGCCGATTTATTTATCTTGGACTCCGACTGTTTTCTTTCAGATCTGGTGAATTTCCTACCTTCTTGGGTTTCTGTGTCTTTCCGGTGTTCACTAAGGCGGACCCCAACTCGCCTTCCAGTCTCTCCAATATATGATGCGTCGCAGTTTTTGCATCCGATTTTGTATACGCACTCTGTGACGTTTTCTTTAGATGTTTTATCCTTTGGGTGTACTAGGATATTGCAAAGCGTCTTGTAGGGCTACATGGCTGTTGCTATGCCATGATCACGATATATCCTCTGGATGGTTTCGGATATACCCTTTATATACGGGATGACCACTTGACCTTTGGTTTTGTTCTTATCCTTGATTGGCCTTTTCTTGTTCTTCGCCTTACTTTGACACTGTTTTTTTTTACCCGTTTTAAGGCCCATTCTATGACCAAGTGTTAACAATGCGTAGCTGAATTGAGTCATTTCGGTACATATATAACAACTATTGTACATACGTTTCCAGCATAGCCGAAATCGACATCGATTTTATAGACAACTCGTACACATTTGACACCTTTGTGTGCATACGCTTCATCGGTCATTTGTCTGATGAAGGTGACAGTGTATTGGTTGTGTAAAAAAGAACTTCTCATAATCCATACTTACCAACCGGAAGAAATTGTTTAGAAAAAGTATAAAATGATGATTTGGGATCTGATTTGGGTCACCTTACTTGACTGCTACCAAAATAGCCCCTACAGTACCGGACACTTTTTCGGCAAAATTTCGGACAATACACAACCATCTTTATAATTAGCACCCTAGCGGCGGCCCCCTCATTGCCTGTTTTGTTGAATTTGCTGTCAATTAAGTAGGCTATTTTATCTTGTGAATGATTGGCACACCTCGAACGCTTGTGTGAGTCGGACGCCATTTTTGTTGTTATGAAGAGAGATTCTAGTTTGAGTTATCTACCCTCGCACGGCAGTGCAGGGTCTATAGAAATACAAACCTCGGCAAGATATCTAATTAGAAAGAGTCTTACAAATTACAAGGGTGACAAATTACTATGTCTGTCTTTGTATTGATATAGTTTCTGTTTTTTAAAATATATCACTGTCTATATTACTATACTTGAATGGTGCATGTATAAGGCTCTTTCAATATTGTATGATAGGTTGAAAAAGAAGTCTTAACAAGTGGATGCAAAAATCAGTAAACTCCAAGATTCCATCGTGACTTTTTACCAAAGTTTTCCAATTAACGAGCCTCGAAAGACGAATTCTATGTCCCCCAATCCTTAATATGTTTGTTAGGTTTTTGTTTGTTTTCAATTGAGTTTTTATATCCGATATCAGTTAAAGTATTTCACTTATATACCGCCCAACGAGGTCTACGTCGTGTAATTTTCAAGTCTTTGTTCTCCAGATTTTGTAATTGAAAATCAAATATATATATTATACGGAAGCTTTAAGTGTCTATTTCAAAATCAAAAGTTATTTTAACTCGTTTTAACACGTTGGTTATCTCGTTCAAATGAGTAAGCGCGTTGAAATGAGATACATTTTTTGTCAATTGACACCAGTATACTTCCGTAATATTATTACCTACACCGTATTCGTCCACAGAGGGAAACACAAAGCCTTATAAGGAAATGGTTAACGTTTGTTTTACATTAGTGTTGTTTCTATCGCTTCCTGTAGTCGCTATGTTTGAATATCACACCTATGACAATTTAATTAGCGCACAGACAAATATTGTTCCATGATATTGTACGTGTACTATAGAAGGAAAACAAATTGAAATCAACTATTTCAATGTCATTCGTTTATTCAATAATGATCATGTAAACAATAAACGTATGTAACGTTATGATGAACGATAAACGTGTATAGCAGCGAGCATGGGTATATGACGTGGGCAAAGCCTATCTAACATGACTTGATATGAGCGAAATTAATATCTTTCAATATAAATACATATCTATATCTATATGTGCGGATATTGTTTTCCCTTATCTATAACTATCTGTGTGTGTCTAGCATTGTATACACGGTGTATAAAGCTCCCCTTTTGATTTTTAGTGATAAAGACATATTTATGAATTTTAAAGTCTAGTTGATTAGCCAGTGTAGACACGTTTTTTTGGTATGCAGTTCATATCCACCAACATAATTTTGACGTTAGTGTGAACTTTTTACTTCAATATTTGGCTTTTTTGTGTTAGATTTTGGTCAACAACTGTACGTGTAGCCATAACGCATATGTTACCAAGGACATGTGTGTTGTGTTACTAAAGATATTTATTTCGACTTTTGATTTATGATGAAGCCAAGTAAATATTGGCATTGTTTGTCGTCCGGCGTATGATTACGTGCAGGTATTCATGCAGTTGACAAATATTCTTTTAGGACAAACATTCATACAACAGACAAACATTCATACAACAGACAAACATTCATACAACAGACAAACATTCATACAACAGACAAACATTCATGCAGCAGGCAAACATTCATACAGCAGGCAAACATTCATACAGCAGACAAACATACATACAACAGACAAACATTCATACAGCAGACAAACATACATGTACAGGGCAAGACTTCCTTCAACATTCCTATCCCAGTGGGCACACAACGTTGTATTTACGTTGGTACAACGTTGTATTCTGGTAACTTTAATATCAGTTTGATACAATTTATGTTTCGTGAAGTATTTCTAAATGAGCCAAATATTCTAAATAAATCTATGCTGTTACCATTTCTACTTCCAATCTAATTCTATTCAAATTTTCACTTTCGCTTATATGCGCGGTTTTTCTCACTTCCTGTTTGTGTTGGAAACTTCACTTGATTTCTGAGACGTCCTTGTTCATGTTTTGAGGAATCCCGTCCATTGAGCAACTTCAATTAAGGTATGCAACTCTAGTGTGTTTTTGTAATGTGCACATTTTCTATACTAACGCAATGTGATAATGTTAAAAAATACGGCAGCTTCGATGATCAGTCAGGCCATGTATAAGAAAACGATTGCACGTTTGTCCATGTTCATTTTAAAGTTATAAATTGAATTTAACGGGTCAAACGCTAATCCTGATAACCATGATGTACGATTAACAATAGTTTTAACCGTCTGTTTATTTTTTATTTCCCACTCTCTACGAAGACTTCATATTATAACGGATTTCTCTCTTCCCCTTAGCGGTAGAGGAGTTCACTATATTGACACTATATATGTATCAACACGTGTGCATACATTAGGCCTAGGTCATATTATAAACAACTTTAGGCCAGTCAACCGGTGAAACAGAAATTATTGATTGTTTTTTCATTCACAATAAGTAAATTTCATTGCTGACAAGTTGCGCTTAATCGGATCAACGAGTGGCATTTAGTGTACTACACCCCGCATGTTAACGACTAGGGTACACTATGTGTACTTGGGGGCCCGGGTCTGTACAGATCTTACCTCCTGATAAGGTATAGGTCATTCTGGTCAATCTCCATAGCAACCTATTGGCTAGATAGCATATGCATAATCAATCAACTGGTATTTCCGCTAGGTTTGGGTCAATTGCTGCGATGTCAGAGATAATGAATTTTATCATTCAAAGCAATACCACGAGATCTTTATAAAGGAATTTGTATACTTATAATTTTGATCTGAAATTAATCATTGTCTATTTTTCATTAATTGGTGAAATGATACAGTATAAAATCCCAATATGATATATATGTACGTGTTGTTTCAAATTGTGAAATACGCTGACGTGTTGTGTCACTATGTGAAAATATGTTGATGTGGTGTGTCACTACGTGGAAATATGTTGATGTGGTGTGTCACTATGTGAAAATATGTTGAAATCTTGTGTCACTACGTGAAAATATGTTGACGTGTTGTGTCACTATGTGAAAATATATTGACTTATTGCGTCACATTGTGAAAATATGTTGACTTGTTGCCTCAATTTGTGAAAATACTTTGTCGTGTTGTGTCACTATTTGAAAATACGTTGACGTGTTGTGTCACTGTATGAAAGTGTGTTGATGTGTTGTGTCAATATGTGAAAATATATTGGCGTGTTGTGTCATTACGCGAAAATATGTTGACGTGTTGTGTCACTATGTGAAAATTCGTTGACGTGTTGTGGCAATACGTGAAAATACGTTCCGTACTGCCATAATGACTATCATATGCATGCACATGTAGCTAGTTTTCAGCGTTCATTTTGAGGAATGAACATTTTTGTCTGCGGAATATAATTGGTGAAATACAGGAGATGTGACGAATTCACCTATGCAATAAACAATTTTGTTAGATTTATCCCCCCCCTCCTTTATGATCGCTTAATTAGCATAAAAGTCAGTTTGGCGTAGTTTACAAGGTCAATGCAGTAGTTTGACGTCATATTGACGAGGTTTACGAGAACATGGACATATTTTTACATAATATAACTTTCAAAATGAGAATTTGATGACGCATCTGTAATAAGAAAACGTCAATCATTTCCATCCTTTATTACGGTTTTATGATTCAATAACTTGGTATTATTAAAATAGCAGGCGTACTGAATATTTACAAAAAAGATTGTGATTTCGATCCGTGTAAAACTAATCATTGTGACAATAACATTGTATATCTATCTTTATGAAGCTTTCCGCTTATACATTACTATCGCTGTATAACACACCCGTAAGTGACGTTTACTGTTACAATGAAATAGGGCGTTAAACCCTATGTAATTAAAACAATTCATAAAGGCCTTTCCTTGTATTAGATATACCCGTTCCACTATCAAAATATGAAATATTTGCATTTGAAACTTATTTTTTCGGCATGAAAATAGCTTTGATAAATCATTTATGATGTCAGAGATAATAAATTTTATCATTCAAAGCAATACCACGAGATCTTTATAAAGGAATGTGTATACTTATAATTTTGATCTGAAATTAATCAGTCTAGTTTTTATTTATTAGTGAAATGATACAGTATAAAATCCCAATATGATATATATGTACGTGTTGTTTCAAATTGTGAAATACGCTGACGTGTTGTGTCACTATGTGAAAATATGTTGACGTGTTGTGTCACTATGTGAAAATATGTTCATGTGGTGTGTCACTATGTGGAAATATGTTGATGTGGTGTGTCACTACGTGGAAATATGTTGACGTGTTGTGTCACTACGTGAAAATATGTTGAAATCTTGTGTCACTATGTGATATGATGTTGACGTATTGTGTCACTACGTGAAAATATGTTGACGTGTTGTGTCAATTTGTGAAAATACGTTGTCGTGTTGTGTCATTATTTGAAAATACGTTGACGTGTTGTGTCACTATTTGAAAATACGTTGACGTGTTGTGTCACTGTATGAAAGTGTGTTGATGTGTTGTGTCAATATGTGAAAATATATCGGCGTGTTGTGTCCCTATGCGAAAATATGTTGACGTGTTATGTCACTATGTGAAAATTCGTTGACGTGTTGTGGCAATTCGTGAATGTCTGTTGACGTCTTGTGCCACTATGGAAAAATACGTTGACGTGTTGTGTCACTATGTGAAAGTGTGTTGAAGTGTTGTGTCAATATGTGAAAATATATTGGCGTGTTGTGTCACTATGTAAAAATATGTTGACGTGTTTTGTCACTTTGTGAAAGTATGTTGACGTGTTGCGTCACATGTGAAAAAACGTGGGTGGTTACTTTGTGCATTTAAACTACTATTATTTTTATTGTTAATAAAGTATTCATGTTTGCACAGTCGAGATTAACATCCGATAGAATGAAAACACTTCCTACAATCAGACGTGATTATTCTTTCATTACATAGAATCTTTCTCTAAATATGTGTATATATCTATGTTTAAGTCAATAATACATATATGTTATTGTTGCAGAATCAACATAGAGAATATGAAGGACACCGAATCTAAAGCGGGCCAAGCCATGTCAAACTAGAAGAGGAATGATGGATGAATAAATCTTATAAATCTTATACATTGTGCATGTAATAATGCATGCATGTTAATATTTTTAATAAAACAAAATCGAAATCTGACGTCTTTGTTGTTACCCACGTTCGGACAACGTTTGTATATAACCTTGTATAAATGTTGAATTCAGATAATATCATAACGTTGCTACAACGTTGTGGAAAGACGTCAGGAAAACGTTCACCTTCAACCTTCTACGGACCAAAATATTACGTTAGGATCTGACCTAAACACAACGTAGTGGCACCGTTATGAAAAGATGTCAGGAAAACTTTCACATGCAACCTTCTGGGAACCAATATGCAACGTAAGAATCTGACTTGAACACAACGTTGTAGCAACGTTATGTGCTCACTGGGATATAGCAGGCAAAAATCCCTTCAGCACACAAACGCTCTACTTGGAAAAACATTCTTACAGTAGGCAAACTTCCATACAGTATGCAACATTGTTGCAACAGACAAGTATTTCTTACAGCAAACATTCTTATATGGCAAACTTTCCTAAAAAAAACCTTTTTCTTTAATGCTCATAAACAATTATACCGCTCACAGACATTCCTTATGCAGGTAATCTTTCCTGCAACAGAATAAAACATTCCTAGAGGGCAAATATTTCTACAGCAATAGCCAGACTTTCAAACAATCAACAAATATACCAACAACATGCAAACAATAAAAATTGCTGCATCAGACAAGCATGAATACGCCAGAAAACCATGACTGTAGTAGGCAAATATTCCTCATACAGGGCAATATTCTTACAACAGGCGAACATTCTTTCATCAGGCATAAAATCCTTCAACAGGCAAATATTCATACAGCCAGAAAGCATTCTTACAGGGCAAACAGTCCTGCAGGAGGTCAATATTCCTACAAAGATTATATTTTGAAAACGTGAATGTTTGTGCTATATGTCCGGTAAAAGTTCGGAACCGGTCTTTCAACCTTTATCCAAAATATTATTTAGACAGTAGTGGTAAAATACAATAATGAATTTGCTAATAGTTGAACGCCATTACAGCGAAAGAAATCAATATCTCTATAAACTGGAAAGCATATAATAACACTTCAAGCATTTCCCCTCTTTTTATGATTCGAAATAAAACGTGAGACATTTTTTCTATTCATTCATGGGAAACAATAATCTAGAGGAATCTGAGACCGTCATTGCAGGAAAAACATTCCAATATTTCTGTAACCAGGCCAGCAGGCTGTCAAAACAAGAGACTATATCTTTTTTTAAGGTCAAAGGAAAAATATAAAGACATACCTGAAATAATCAAAGTTGAATAGTACTCCTACTTTACAAATTATTTGCGCTATTACAAACACTTATACAAAAATCAAAACTCTATAAATAGGCAATTATACAGATGCGGCGTCTTTATCTTCATTTGCTTCATTTTGCAACTCGTCTAAAGAATAACACATTTTATAACACTCAATTTATTAATGTTCATGGTAAGGTTCCCGACTTCATCTCCAAAACACACCTCAAACTATATTCAGTCATGGGGGTACACATATTTTCACTCACAAATGCATTACGCAAAGTCCTGTATGGGTTAACCTATTCATACTCATCGTTTGACTATCAATCGTTTGTTGATAGTAAATATTTCGGGCATTTTATTTACAAACATTTTGATGGTCTAAAACTTGCAAGTTAATTCAACTTGCTTAAGTTATGAAAAATGTTAGATTTTAAACTTTAATCCAAAAATGCCTCTCGAAATTGAACCAGAGATTTTTTTTCTCATACATTCCACTATTCTCCGATTTTTGGCTTCAAGCGATGAGATTACCTTAAAATTGTTTTGATTGATCTAGTCAATCACATTTGTATTAATTTAGAAGAAACATGGAAATATTGAGTAATAGAACCTAACCATGCGCATCTCTTTTGACATTAACTAGTTCACAGAATCAGGAAAGAGAACGTGTTGTTTAAACGTCAATTACAGAGATAGATCATATTAACATTTGAGAAGAATACAAAAATCTCAAAAAGGATTTCTAGCTGGGGAAAGCATAAAAGTAACACTTTTTGCACAATAAAAGCAAATTTAAGACAAGGAAAATAAACATGTGATTGAATGATAACTCTTCAGTTTGATACATTTGTATAATAGTAATCGTTAGATACGAACTTGGAATAATAATAAATGGAAACAATGATGACATTAAATGTATGATAAATTTGAATAATCGCCAGAAAACTATACTTATACGTTTTCGTTACTAATCAAATTCAAATGAGATAAAAATAAGCGATAATGGCCACTTTAAATGCCATTGGGAAACAGTAAGCTGTAATTTTATAAAGAAGTAAAATTGAATAATGTTCTGGTGAAATATTTAAACAGAAAACTAAAGTAATGTTTTAGGATCCCTCCAATAATCATGGTAAGGATATTCTAATCGTTGAATGCATCATAATCAGTTTTGTACACTAAGGTCAGGAACATAACGTACTTGATATGACAATTTTATTCGTTTGTTTGTTGATAATAGACAGTATTTCGTCACAGTAACAGTTGCTTCAGTCGTAATGGATTCCTATATTCCATATTTTGGAAGAATGCAATTATATGCCATATCACACAAAAAAATAGGATATTTCAAACCAAACTGACTGTGATAACGGGTTTGGTTGGAAGGGTAGTACATTCCTGCTGTCTTATAGAGAGTGGTTCTAAGTAAGTGATAAATGTCACATGCAATCCTGTGATCGCAATGGCAATTCTAAAGTCTAAAGGTCAAAGGTCAAACAGGGCATCCATTCATCTGACTTGTCAACGAACGAAGGGAAATAGCACAATTTGTTCCGTGCCGTTCTGAATAGAGAACGAGACAAAGTCTGCATAGTTGACATCACTTTTCTATGTACATCCCACCTCAAGCCAATATTTATATATGTGTATGTATACATAGTGTCATGCACCGGACGGATGGGTTTAACACTGACAGGTAAAGCACAAGGGCCTGATAATCAATCTCAGCATGTGTTGTTTAAATCTGTTCTGGCATGCAGAGGCATTAACAGACGTTTTATGTGTTTAAATCAACACTTGGTAAAAATGTCATTTCTATTAACGACATTGCCATATATATTTACCATAAGGGCGGGGTTGTTGATCTTAATTTCAAAAACGTCTAGAAACACTCCCCACAAAATAAGACTTCCAAAACTCGTACCTACATACCTAACAATGGTTTACCTTGCCAGATGCATGGAAATACAGTTTATATAATACATATTTTATATGTTATTATGTTATACAACTCCGTCGTTCCCGATTGTTTCATATCATCGATTTTCATCGATTAAACCTGACTTCATCACATGACTAAGTCAAGTTATCTAAAACATGTCTACTTTTTCCTAAAATACACTTTTCATATTCATGTATTGTGCATCGTCTTTACATATTCATGTATTGTGCACCGCCACTCCCGTTCGCCGTAACTATGGTAACAGAAATATAACAGCAACTTCCACTATTGTATTTGCATCACATCGATTAACTGATCAAGGTAAGGATCAGAATGATTTGGTGATTCTCATCGTTTCAGAGATATTCTTGATGAAACGTGACCTCCTTATCATACTGTTCAGAGCTATATCACAGTGGTGTCAAAGTCCAATACTATAGTTATAAACTTAAATACTTTGGACGCATCAGATTCAATTACTTTGTGCATCCAGCGTGAGGAGGGATGATATTACCGCCATGTTTTGTCCTTGTCACTAAGCACGAGAAACGCACCACCGCGCCTTTGTAATTGTGTTTGGTAAATATGTGTAGGCACCTTAGTGCCTCGATGTGATTTCATATCAGCATTCGGATGGTATGTTGAATATCAGTGCCACCTTGAGAGGGGGTAGCCAGTGATAAACATTTCACGCCCGTGTCCAGGCCTTTGTGTCACCTTATACAGCAGTAACTAGTGAAACACGTTTCACTAATGTTCGTAGCTCACTCCATCTCGTACAGTGGGAGCTAGTGGTACTCACTTCACCACTGTTTCGAGCCCTTATTGCCACTTAGGAAAGCGGTTACTTGTGACACACAATTTAAACCTTTACCGAGCTCCTCATGCCACCATGTCCAACGATAACAATGTAAACTAAATTGACCACGTTTCCCCAATGCGCCACTCTATATGGTGACAAGAAGCGTCACATACTTTACCATTGTGTCCAACTCACAGTGCAAGCCTGTATCAAGGACACGTTCATCAGCTTTTGGTTCCCCCTTGTACACTGCTAACAATGGACACACAACGGACAAGCTTCTAAACCCTTGGTGCTTCCCTTTACAGCGCTAACGAAGGACACATTATGGACCATTTCGTTCCGCCCATTGTGCATCATTGTGCAGAGCTGATTACGGACACACAATAAACCACTTTCTTCGGCTTCTTTAGCTCCTGTCGCTTCCTTGTACAGTGCTAAGCAGGAACACAAATTGACGGATTTCCTAACCCCATTGTGCTTCCTTGTACACTGCTAACGAATGTCACACAATTAACAAATTTTCTAAACTCCTGGTGCACTCTTTTACAGCGCCAACGAAGGACAAACAATAGACCATTTATATTAGTCCCTTGTGCTTCATTGTACAGCGCTAACCACGGACTACAAAAGGACAGCTTTCCTACGCTCGTGGTGCTTTTCTTGTACAGTGCTAACCAGGGAAACACAATTGACGACATTCCTAAGCTGGTAGTGCTTTCTGTTACAGCGCTTACAAAAGACAAAGAATTGACGGCTTTCCTGGTTCCGCCTTCTACAACGGTAACGGAACAATCATACTTCGTTACTGTCCACAACTTCAACCACTAGCTTCTAAGGCGGTAATTAGTGACACAGGTCACCAATCTCGTCGGCTTTTCGTTGCATCTCCTATAGCGCAATTACTACTTTCTTGAACCATTGAAGCCGACGACGTACACCAATATTGATTGGAAAAGTGTTAACCAAAATAGCACCACAGCGTCACCGTATGTGACTCATGCTAGTGGAACAAAAAAGAGCATACCAACGTCAAAGTACTTGCGAAGAGTAAAAGCGTATCTGACGAGAGATTAATTCCGTTGTTACAGAAGTTTGTGGAACAAAAACAATAGAGGGCGGTAAATCCGATATCGTTAGTCCATTCGCGGCATCCATCCGTCTCATTAAGACCGTACAAGGTGCCCATCTGATAGCAGACTCTGGCAATCCCGACCCAGCCATCTACAACGATAAGGAAAAGTTTGTAAATAAAATTCCAGAACACCGAAACACAGTGTGCAAATAGTTCAAAACGCACAGCGAACCAGTTTCTTTATTATCTAGACAGTTTGCGTTCATCATCTGACCATGCAAGGGGTTAATTTATTAGTCTAAAAATAAAGAAATATATCAATAGTAAATGCGTGACATCTCAACGAAGCACTAATAACACAGACGACTGAGAGGTCAAAAATGTTTACTGAAGTGAAAATAATTTCTTGAACTTTATTTAACCCAGAACTGTCACAACGGCGGATGTAGAAAATTGGTTCAAGATCATTGATTCAATTTAATCATCCATCCAAGTGGCATCAGTTAATTATACTTTTCTGGGATATTTTGTTTTGTGAGAGATACTCGGTTGCAAAGTTTGGAGGTAGGGCATTGGCAGAGCTGAACACTGAAACCGAAGGCACCACCTGCAGTCTGGATTTCACTTATTTATAATAGCCTATATTTACCTTGCAACCAAACGAGACCGCCGTCTCACAAGAGATAGACCTGTCCTACAACTCGCAAATCCCTAACTTACATCTCCACGTCATTACTGTCCTTAAAGGGACTGATGCATCCCACATTTCTCGTGATATCATATATTTCATGGTTATTTCTTGCTAACGATAAATCTTTCTCCTCCTTACACAATTATACATAGGAACGATCCTTAAATTGATCCTTTGTCACCTCCATGAGTTATTTCTTTTCTTTATCCTGTTAACCATATCATTTTAAAAATGACGTCATTCGACGGTAATTTCTGCAGAAAACTGCCGCTTATTTTAGGTTTTTACTGATGATATATATAAACTGTTACTGAGCGAGGTCAAATGCTCAGATTCTGTAACTTATTCGTATTTAAGGCACCATGCAAGGATAGGATGTAACAAAATCTCGCTCAGAACCTGTTGAAAAATGTCCTTTGGGGCCTCCAATAACACAGATTTTGAACTCTTTACTATGTTTTATATATGGTTTCAAGTAATAAAACGTGTTCCACACAAAGGAAAGAACGTTCCAATGTATGAATATGTCTCGTGCATTTTATCGTTAATAAAAGAAGAAAAAGCGATAAATTAAACTAGCCATAGATAATTGCGGTTTGTTTGATGCGTTTAAGTGCGCGGATGAATGCATCGCCTAGTGCAATTTTATATAATACCGTTGCGTTTATATTCCTCAGGGAAACAATAAACAAAGATAAGGAAATATAAATGGTCGAAAATTATAGTTATAAATGGCAAAAAATCGTTTTCTAATCTGTTTGATGTCTCCTTATTGTTGAAAGTATTGTTTTTACATGCAATTTCTAAAGAAACGGCTATAATGAGAAATCTCCCGGTTTTATGAAGATCAAAAAGGTCGACATCGTTTTCATTAAAGAAATATTCGAGAAATCAATATCAGACACTTATTAGTTCAAAGACAGAAAATCATGTTTATTGACAGAGCGAAAAAACCCACATCACAAATATTTTGAAGGTCATCATTGGATTTAACAGTAAGACCGCAAGAGAACTCCCAAGTTATTTCACCGCAAATTAAACCTAATTATAGTATGTTAATGAGTCTTGCTGCTTACTATGGACACAAATCGGGCAAAAGTGACTTCAGAATACAGGAAGCACAACAGACATCCTAGTGTCGAATTGCCTCTCGTAAGAGAATGGCCTCGTTAGTTAGCATTTTATAAGTTAAATCTACATTTCTATGAAAATAATAATAGTTTAAAAAGAACATCAATTTGGTATGTTAATTATATAAATGCGATTTATTGGCCAATCGTTACTAACTTTGAGCCGCTATCGCAATAGAGAGTGGTGATGTCTTTTCAGATATAGGAAAAGCTTCCTAATTGCATCTTTTTCATCGAAGTATAGTATAAAGCTTTAAACTGTTTCCACAACAGTCGCAGTCGCGATGTAAAATTTCTGGCTTTGTCGATACTTTGTGTCCGAAGTTAAATAAAAAAAGTTTTTGAATACAGGTGAGGATAATATCTGCTTCAAAGCGGACCTTTGTAAAATTCATGATATTTTCGTCACAGTTAATGTTATATGCTTATCATATCGGAAAGCTGCCATTGGTAAGAAAAATGAATTAATCTGCCAAGCACACAATTTTATGTGATGTAAAAAAGTAAGGGTAGCAGCCATTTCCAGAAAGGAATTCATAACATAACGGATTTTGAAAACTCCGATGCCGCAATGCGTAAAAGGTGTCTTTATGGAATTAAAACATATTACGATATATTTACCGTACACGTTAGAAAGATGAGATTTTTTTTCTGCGCAAATTCTGTTTGCAAATATGGTGTATTCTAAATCTGGCCGACAGATTCCTTTACGTCTAAGAAGCTCTGGAGGAAAATTGATATTTTCAAAATGGCAGCGAGTCCAAACACATTTTCATGGTTTCTGAGCTTATTCTCGTAGTTGGAATGAAAGAAAAATGCTCGTTTGTGTCCAAGGGTGTAAGATAGGGAAATGACACCCGAGGGTTTTACCAAATTTAAAAAAAAAAAATGGATGGAATGTCCATATCTAACATCTCTACTCATGAAAAAGTCATATGATGGCTCTGTGCGATATTTCTAGAATTGCTCCGAATAAAACAGTTACAGTTGTGGGATCGCACAACGTTACACGATGTGCGGTGTGCGCACGATGTGTGTACGATGTGTGAACGATGGGTGCACGAAGTGCGAACAATAAAAAATTGGACGATCATTGCTTGCGCACATTTGTGCGGACGATCGACGAACGCTGTGCGATGACAATCGTGGTTGGTGTAAAACAATATATACGGTTTTGTGTTTAAACATATAAACTTGATTTTTAGTATGTTTCTACATTTATAAGCTTATCTTTTGTCTAAACTTTCTTAAATTTAGAAATGGTGTTTTCGGTGTTTTTTAAAGGACCTTAATCGACACGGGTCAAATAACAACACAGTCTCGGAAACACAGGTAAACATAGCCACTTTGTACCTTGACCGTAGTTTTCCCCCGCCCGGGGCACTTACGTAACTCGCCAAGGTGTGACAACCATGAGCTATAGACCAAAACGAATGCAAATAACAAATGTTAAACGACCAGTTGTATTTTCATAACAGTCATACGGTATCAGATACCAGCTCTATGTGTCGGACAAAGACCAGGTAACACTCCGGTCACTCATCAAATTGTTATTTACCTGTTCTGTTACCGAGGAGCCAAACCCGTTCTTGACAGTCTAACGGTCACTGTATACTGTGTAACACGCATTGTAAAATTGTACATAATCTCAGTTATAGAGATGAGAAATTACAGTAATATATACAGTGTACATTATTGCATACAAGCCTTCCGTATTTTTTTCATTCCGTAATATTGATCAACAAATTGTAGCAAATCGCACAGTTGTGCGGAGAGAAGCGCACAACGGGGCGAACGATTGTTAAATCGCACAGTTGTGCGCACCATGTGTGGACGATGTGCGGACGGTGTGTGAACGATGTATGCACGGTGTGCGCAAGGTATTTTTGGTGCGTTGTGCTGTCACAAAACTGTTTAATCTGAAAAAATTGAGCGCTTGTGGGCAAATTGATGTTTTTATTGTCCCGTTATGTAACCAGTATCATCTAATCAAACATGCTCTTAAGAAATGAGGTAAATCATTGTTTTTCTATGTCTTACATATTGTATTTTTTTACTCGGACGTTATAACATCATTGGATATAAATTAAGAATACAAAAAAAAAATCAAAAAAATCGAACACCAACAGTAAACCAAACAAACACACGGTGCGTACGTTCCTACATCGCCAAACAAATACTGTCTTTTCTAGAAAGGTCTTCATAGACGAAAAAACAACCAAGGCTTACTTCGTAAGCATCGTGCATTTTATAAAATTATCTCGTCTCTCTAGCTTTACTTTCATAAAAATTAGCACGTGGACATTTTACAAATTTAGCATACAGATTGACCTGTAGAAAACTGATGTATTTGTTTAAGTTCCCTATGCGGTACAATGAAAATACTCATGATACAAATTATGATTTGGTTTATCCACTTTTTTACGCCTGTTATAATAAATAACACATTATTTTAGTTTATGTGCATTTTGTAAGGTGGTTTAGTTTAGGTTACATAATTGAACCCCGGCTATCATTTTAGTGCTTACCTTACCTTATGAGTCAGTCATGTAAACAACCTTAGATAGTTAAGAATATCGTGCAAATGCGGGACTGATTTTTAACCAAAACGGATAATATGCGCTGTGTTTCGTCTCGTCTGCTCTCTCCAATACACTCCCACTGGGATGCACACTTTAAAGCGGGAGCTGTTTTTTTACAGACATAAGTGTCGGTAAAGATACATTGTTGACGTTAGCTTTCAATGTTGTTGTTGTCTAAACTCCCGTGCAGTACATGTTACAAATTGACTCGGTAAAGCAGCTGATTTCAACGGTTTTTACCTTAAGTCTGGTATTAATTCTATTAATCTTATGTCTAAACGTGTGTATAGCTGGCAGTCATGCTTCTCCCGTCTTTCATATTGATACAATGCAGTTATCCCATCATATACGATCTTTGGATTTAATATTTCATTTTCCGGTTCACTGATGTGCTTGCTTTTGAACGAGTTGTTATTAAATGTGAAGCGAGCATTGTCAATAGGCGGTTTGCGATAAAAAAATGTAATGATGATTTATTACCGTCTGACGTCGCATAAACTTTATTATTTTACAATAACTCTTGTTGACCCGGATGTTAGCGCGCGGGGCACCCAGAGAATATCCGCGTGGTCGGGAAGGTGACCCCATACGCCAACCGACCATCCGACGTCGCGTGGAATATGGTTGACGATCGTAACTATGTTATGGAATAATAGTAACATAAAGCAAATAAGTATCAGTCATATATAAAAGTACTTAACAAAAATAAAAATAAATAAAAATAAATAAAAACAATATTATTATGA